AAGACTGGAAACAAGGGGAAACAGCTAGCCTGGGTGTGTCCAAATGTAACAAAACCCACATACCAGCACATCTAAAGCTACAGACATTTTGTCTCCTTTGTCTTTTCATCCAAAAAATACATTTCACAGGGGGTTATGTGATGAGCTATTTTTGGTTGGGATCAATAACTTCTCTGCTGGTTGCTGGGCAACTGGATACAAGCTGCAACCTGTTAATTAGTGAGAGTTAGAGGTGCTGGTGGGTGGATTTTGTTACCCTTGGACAGAGCCAGGCTAGCTGTTTCCCCTTGTTTCCAGTCTTTGTGCTAAGCTAAGCTAAACTAAGCTAAGGACATATATAGATCTTGTCATCTAATTTGGCAAAAAAAAAGCACACCAAAATGTTAAAATTGTCCCATGAATACTGAACTCACCATTTTTTTGGCATGCTCTTCACAGAGTGGTGTCTGGTGCGTGATATCAAACACAGGGATGGAGCACTGCTGACCATCTGCAAATTTGGCTGTGCAACTAGCAAAGAGCTGCTGGGAACGATTCAACAGAATGTCTACAGAGGACAATAAAGGAAATAACACAATACAACTGGGCGAAAAGCATGTGATGGTGGTACTCCATCACAAAGGGATATTTGACATCACAGTGAGTCAATTAAAAAAACATGTACGACTGGAACTGATAAACCTGGATTTTCAATTAGATAACAGAATCACAACCATTCTTCTGCACTTGAAGCAACCAGCTGTACAGCCAGTGCTGTGGTGGAAAGGATACGCTGAAAGCAGTGTCGAGTGAAGGGCAGAGCCCTGTTGTTGCAGGCTTGGCCCTTTGTGCTGCCAGTGCAGGTCCCCGTATCTGTGTTCTGCTGCCTGACTGGAGCCACACTGTAGAGACACACAGATCCAGGACTGAGCAGACAGCAGTAACACATTTGTCAGGTTTCAACTACTTTGATCTTACTGTATTCATGTTAGTCTTTACAGATTGTGACACTTGTGAGAATACCTCGAGGAGCTTCGAGAGGCACCACGTAACTCCTGGATCAGCTGCCCAGCACAATCGGGGTTGTTACTGGCAGCGTGCAGCAAGGCTTTGCGGAAGGCATAGCGGTATCTCTTTTGACGGATACTCGCCCTCTCCTGCCTGCACATGTGCTTGTATTTCTCCTGGAGGTACGAGCAAAGCCTTAGTAGCCGTGTTCTCCGCGAGGAACCGCTGTCGTCTTCCAACCTATTTAGAAAACAATTAATAGCGGTCATTACGAGAAGCCTCACTGGTTCCAAGTTTATACTGTGGTACTAGGATACTAACCCATTCTGTGGTCTCCAGGAGCTCTGGAAAGGAACAAATGTCTCTGCCTCCTCCTCTTCATCATCATCATCGTCAGCACTGTCTTCTGACCAGTCCAGTCCTGGAAAAGAATCTGTTAGAGCAGCTCATCTGTCTCGGCAAATGTCAGTTGTTACACTATGTCTAAACTATCTTACACAGTCCATTAAAACTGCACATGAATTTATAAGTGAGGTAAATGCATTTAAATTAAGCACCTAGATGAGGAAAGAGGTCTCCGTGCTCCTGGTGTCTCTTGGCACAGAGCTGCACCAGATGTTGCAACCTGGCCAGGCAGCTGGCAGAAGGTGAGAAGGCAGCGGGACGCATGACAACCATGTGCCGCTGATTGTTACTGCCACTGTCCTTGCAACTGACAGGCAAGTGAGTAGCAGTGAAAGGCATTTTCCTGCTGAGTGATGGCCCAGAGGGTTGCACTGGACTGGGTGCTGCATTAGCGGGCATCCCTGGAGGCAGAAAGTTGACCGTCTGAGGTGGTGGTGGATTGCATAATAAACCCTGCTGCTGTCCTGGGAAGATGAAGGAAGTCACGCTGGAGTGCTGGGGCGGGTGGAGGAGACCTGACTGCTGCCGTGGGAGATGAGTGTTGAGTGGCGAGGAGGGGTGGACACGGGGGGCAGGGGAGGGACTAAAGTGCTCAGGGGGTGGCTGGAAGAGGTCCGTGTCATGGCAGAGTTTCTGACTGACCACCAGCCGACTCTGTATTTTCTTCTTGATGGCGCTGCCCTTCCGAGGAGTACCCACCTCCTCCCCATCTGTGTCATCCTCATAAAAGGCAAAAGGGTCCAGGAGTTCCCCATCAGGGAGGGGCAACAGGCGTGAACAGGGAGGAGATGGCGGAAGTTCATCTAGACCATTGGGAGCTTTCAGAGCTAGTGAGGGCACAGTTATATTGAGAGCCACTGACTCCAGGTGAGCCCGTGAGCGCATTTCCTCCAAAGCATCATGTTTCTTTTTCCGCTCCTTCTTGGGGATAAAGCCCAGAACCTGCAGGTGGCTGTTACAGTATCTGGAAAACAAGAACACATCCTCAGCACACTGTGCACAGCGTAATGTTTTCTGCACAGCACAGGAGAATATGCAACACATGTACACAGACATACACACCTGCGGTCCTCAGACTTGGGGATGGGGTTGGTACAACGCTGGCTGTTGTACTTGGCCACATATTCACATTGCTTGAAGGGGGCTGTCTTATCCTCCAGAACGTGCCGGATACAGAAAGCATAGCCGTTTAGTCTGCGCTGCTTGCACAGCTTTGGGCTGTACGAGCACAACGGCTTATTGTCCACCTCTGAGAAGTGTATGTGTTTGCCTTCATACATCACGTGACTCTTGTTCTTGACAACATCAGCTGATGGGATAAAGTCAGGGGAAACCAAGAATTACATCACTAACACTTCATACTGAGGAGGTAACTGCGCACGCTGAGAGGCAGGGAAGTAGTCACCTCTACATCAGGAGACTGTTTAATAGCTAATATAGGTATTTAATGGGAATAAAAATTCAGGACGCCCACATAATTATGCAATATTATTTGGTGGAATGTCAAAAATTAAATAACATTTCAAGACTGATTTCATAACAGCTTGTTCATTAAATTATTGGACTGCACATTATCTTTGAAAACATAGTCTAGACAGAAATTTCTGACTGCTAGTTGCTGTCACACCTTCTCATTTTCTAAATATCTCCATGTGAAACGGTGGTAAACAGAGAATAGGTACTTTTATGCAACAGTCCATCCAATTATTCTCCAAACTACCACTTACAAGATAATGCGATGGCGGTAAAACAGTATATTGCATGACAGCGGTGTGCATGACAAACTAGAACGGTCACCCGCCGGTGTGAAGGCATCATTGCAAAACTAGCTGAACACTCATATAACTTAATAAAAAAGTCGCTTTTTTCCATTCATAAAAAAAACACGAACCCTTCTATTAATGAAACGCTTCTTAGTGCCAAAGCATGCAAACAGGATGCTCCGGGAAACGTTATGTCTCAATACACTGGAGCAATAATTGTAGCATTAGCTGCCAAGCTTCAGTAGTAGCTTAGCCGCTACTTTTAACTTTAATTGTGTGTTTTCAAGATGGTCTTGACAGCGCTACGGCTCTGACAGCTGAGGTACATGTTGGACACATGAGGGCAGGGTGGCTAAGAGTCATTTATAACAGCCTGGGTTAACGTTAACAACTTTAGGTGCGGAGAACCGGACAGGCAGCAAACGGTGACTAACCATCGTAACTACCGTTAAGAGCCTGGGGAGCTAGCATGCTAGCGTTAGCCTGGAGCCGATGTACAGATGTGAAACTTTACCCTGTGATACTGTGAGCGTATCTACGTGACACATACTCCCGTGTCCTGATCCATAAGACACAACTTTATCCATCTTTAAGCAGCAATACATTTTATCAAGTTTTACCAGACGCGAAAAGTCCAATTTGCTAGTTAGCTAACACGCTATCAAAGCTAAAAACACAAATTAGTAGGCGGTAGCTAACCAGGAAACGGAAACATCAGCAAATGGCAACACTATAAAAGGTCTATTTTCAGTTTAGTTTCATTAAGAAAAATGCAAGCGTATTCATACATGACAAGCAATACTTGCCCTCAATCGTGGGATTTTTGTGTAAATAAACGCGATACATTTATGGTCAAATACTTTCAAACAAAGGGTCTACATACGAGGCTTAAGGCCTGTCCCCGAAGGCCTCCGTTAATAATCGATATGAATTATAGCCACTATCGTTACATAATGTGACATTAGCAGGCTATAGGGCTTAAGACTTTAAACATTGCATAATTTTCTGTATCTCCTTAAGGCACAGAGTCATTTAGTAAAATCACAAGTTATAAAAATAAATAAGTCATTAATAGGAGGCCTATTAGCCTCGGTAGCACAGCGGCCTCTAGTTGAACGCCTGGCCGCTCGAAGCCCTCGCAAAACGGCACACTCAGAAATCGAGACCGAGGCTGTATACGATTTCGCTTACCTTGAATTGGTATGGGCTGTGTAAGGTATTCGCTCCAGATAGACGGCCGAAATGTCTATTAGAATCAGCTAGGCTATTTGTGCATCGATATTCGAGACAGGATAATAACAGTGATCTTCATCGAGCTCGGTATATCTTGAAATAAGGATGCATTTGAATATAGGCTATCCAGAGCAAATTACAAGCAGTAGGCAGGCTGCTGAGGATTTTTGTTGGATCCACAGCAGACTCCTCACAGCACCACTACAGGCACTGCGGGGACATGACAACAATCCGCTCAACAACAACAACCTCTCCTACCATATTGGAAATTCAACTTTCTTAAAAGCCCCTACAGTGTAGAAATGTCATGTTAATCTCTTTATGACAGAAATTGCAGTTTGTGTAGATGACAGTGCCGTTTACAATTTTCTCAGTTAAAGCAGCTGTGTTTAATCATATTGACTGAGAGGTCCTGCAAAGTGTTTCAGTGTGAGATCCACCTGGACCACGGCTATCGTCCTCCATATGAATGAGTTACCAGCCCTGCTGCCACTGTTGCCGCTGTTCACTGATGATGGACCACGTGCCAGGCACATACAGGAGCTCGAGACTGGAAAAGTTGACTTGTGTCACATCAAACAAGGACAATGGCTTCCATATCAGCAGCACATATTTTTTGACACTTTTAACATTTTTTAATAGCAGCACAAACTTGAATAGGTGGTTGCAAATATTCATTAGTCTTGCTACAGAAAACTGGTTCATTAAATATCACATAAATATATACACTTGTAACACTATGCTCCAAATACTTTTAGGAAAATATAACACTTTTAATATTAATTTCAAGAAGATGAGAAACTAAATTTACCTTTGATGCCTAGGAACTTTAAATCTTTGGTCACACCTACCTAACAGGTAAACATAAACTGTGAGGAGTGCATCTTTGGAGATTTGGTCAAGCCTAAACGTACATATTCACTCTGCAAGTAGCACGTACACAAGTTTCAGCAGGTTAGTAAAGTATGTTCGGTCCATAATGTGCATAGATGATGAGGCATCTACTTGGAATAAAACAGTCCAAATAAATACATTTCTAGGAATGTGCAAATAGTAAAATTGTGCGTATAATTTTTTTTTTCTTTTCATGGACTGGATGGCTATCATTTGTGCTTCAGCATATAGCCGGCTCGTCCACAGCTTGAGCTCCCTCTTTGACGGCTTTCACACACTTGGCCATCGTCTGGGAGGCTCTGCTTATCGGATCTGTGAGTAAAGATGGAGAGCAAATTTAAAATCGGCACACCAAAATTCAACATTATAATGTGTCTTAACTGGAAAATCAATAGGTGTTCATGATGCTATGAATTAAAATCGTTGTGCTTACTTTGCTTGAAGATATGCATTTAAAGCCCAATGTTGTACGTGTAACAATAGTGCTGCTGAGTCTGGTGTTGCAATAGTATTATATTCAAGGATGAATATGTCACTATGTGTTGTATTATGCTTGTGTGATAACCAACATACAGATAATATGATAATATTTGGAACAGTCTGTTACTTGTTTTATTTTGTAGTTAAATAGGACTATCAGCTTTAAACCAAGAAGCATTTTGTCTGCATCAAACTCATAGAAGTAGTGCTACAAACTAAATTCTGTCATATTTGGTTGTAAAAATATATTGTGATTAAGAATTTAAATGTATAGAGAATAAAAATTAAAGCAGATTTTCATGAACATAAACACAAGCAGTGAGGCAAAGGAAATGAAAGATGCTGACGGAAAGTACTTACAGCAGCTAGGTAGCTAGGTATATATTGGATTTTTTTTTCTCTTTACCAGGATATGACAATAATTTAATTTAAAAAATCATGAATTCATGTAATTCAAAAATGATTTAGGAATTTCAGTGAGCATACGGCATATGAATTTTGCAGATGCCATTGACATTGTTTTTTCTACAGAGGAGCCTTTCCATGATCACATTATTTCACTCTACTATTTTTTTGTCCTTTTTGTTTTCTGTAGTTTGTTTTACTATTATTTTTGGCAACAAGCGTCGACACACAGGATATCTCATACTACTGAAATTGCTATGAAATTTGCTGAACACATATTATGCTCCGATGATTTTAATGGCCTCATGACCTCATTGTTTTTTTAGATTTTGACCCTCTTAGCCGTAGCGCTCGGACATGTTTCTGTTCTCTCCTAATATACAATTACCATTAGCTCTCCAAATGTTCATGCCACTGTAAATAATGGTAATAACATTGAGATCTAACTATGGTATCACATTCGCTGCACATAAAAGAAAGCTTTAAGCTTTTAGTTATTGTACATTTCATATTGTATTCTGGTCTGTACAGTGTGTACTAATTGTTTTTATTATGTAAGGCATCAGCACCAGTAACCTCATCACTTTACAAGGTAGGTATATTGTATTTTGTACTATGCAGTGTGTACATACTGCCTCTATTATGTCAGGCACATGGATTTACTGTAGTATGCATTGCACCTTGAATTTTATTCTTATTTATTGCGTCTACTTGTTAAATGTAGGACAGATGTAGAGATGGAGATTAGTGTTTCGCTAAATCTGGTGCAACCATGTTTTCATTTCTTGTAAATGATTAATGTCATTGCACACTGTCCTCTTATAAATCCAATAAACTAAACTAAACTATTCTGATAATAATCTATACTAATGTAAGTAAGAGCTCAATCAGAATCCAGATGACTAATTGTGATAGATGTTTCGTGGTGGTTCTAAACCTCACCCATTAACAATGTCAAATAAAAATCTGTAATATAAACAGAACACTTACAGAGGTGCTGCAAGTGGATTTCCTCCTTAACAGCAGAAATAACAAACACTTTCTTCAACAGGAAGCACAGCAGTAAACATCCCTAAATCTTTGCTCAGCTTGGAGAGCTGGATTTTGTATTGTTCTTCAAAGAAACCTTCCTCTGATGACTGACATGTACACAGGACACCTTAACTGATTAATTTATTCAGCGATAATGTAACACCTTAGTGGGAATTTTCATTTGGATTTATTTCATTCAGTGAGAAAAAAGCTCATGTAACAGCAGCTAATAAGGTCAAATAATAAGATTGCCAATTATGTGGTATTAGTATTATTAGCATTTCTCCCTGTCAACATTTAAGAATTGATGCAACACTGCTGTGTTTCCTGGAGGATTTTGGATAACAGATAACATTAAGACTGGGTTGCATGAGAGGAGTATCGGAGCACTAGTGACCCACCTGTCATATAGAAGTCCTTCACAGTAAGCTGTGGAGGGACTAAAGGTTCAGTAAGGACAGCCTGGTTCACTGCCTGAAAGAGATAAGAACAGCATGAAGCAAACTAAGATAAACTAACTGAATACATTTAAATGAAGCTTTATTAGTACCTCCTCTTTAATCAACAACACATGCTGGAGGAAGATAACAGCTGACCTTAGACAGTTCATTAGCCTGCTTAAAGTAGTTGGCCTCCTCAACATCATCATATCGCACCAGATTTGGGGAAACCTCTGCCAGCCTGTTACGCACTTCATCAAGGGTGTCATATGGCAGAGTCACTCCAGCAAGCTTAAAAAGGGACGGGAAAAAAACACAGCATTTAGTCCTGTTTCTTATTATTTTGTATAAGCTGGTTATTTTTTAATTGTAGTTCACCTCAGATATGGCTCTGATGATCTTCCAGTCCTCCCTAGCCATGCCTGGGGGCGTCACAGCCACTTTGGTCTGCTGGGCACGGCCCTCAGTGTTCACATAGGTGCTACATTTCTCAGTGTATGCAGCTCCAGGAAGAATGATATCAGCCATTGGTGCACCGGCATCGCCATGGTGACCTGCACAAATCATTTAAACAAAGTAAGAAAAAGTTTGATGCTCTACTGGAGGGACAAAAACCATTTTTACTGAAGATATTCCCTCTTTATATTTTGATGAATGGGATGGAACTGTCGAACACTTTGTGCACTGGGTTCATTTAGGTGTCTTTACTCAGGTTTTTCCTTTGTAACAGCTCTTTACATGTAAAAAATGATCAGGACTTACACTGCCTCTTACATATGCCATACATAAATTAGTCTAATGTAAATGAAAGAGCTTCTGCTGCTGTGCAGTAAAAGAGCTGACCTTGATAAATTATGAAGCTATCCTTGGGGAGGTCTTGGCGAGTGATGCAGCCTGCATCAGCTCCGAGAAGAAACAGAACTTTGGGTGGGTTCTTCCTGATAGCCTCCACTCCTGGCTTGTACCCAAGATCGAGTGCAGCCACTTGACTGGCAACCCTGAAGACATGGGCAAAACAGCACACATTGTACAGTAAACATCCCTCTTGAACACTCCTCTTACCAGAAGCTTTTCCTCTTAATTTTCCATGACTATGACCTGTGAAGCACATTGAGAACCTTCCAGGTTTCCTCCGCGCCACTGCTGACTCGAGCGTTCTGGGCAATGGTTGACACAGCGGCCATTATCGCGGCCCCGTCCTCTCTCTGCAGACAACTGCTTCCAACCACAACAACGGGATTCTTTGCCTTAGCCAAGACCTTTAAGAGGAGATAAACGACACAAAAAAAACTGAAAAGACATTCAGTTTGACTGATAACATTCATTGTATTATTCAGGGGGGACTTCATTGAGAATGGATTGCAGCACCACTTTCAAGCGCTATCTGCCCTTTCTCAAGATTCCATTCACAAAGTGTATTGTGCTAACGATATTACAGCGCAGACACAGCCATTAAGTTTTGCATCTGAGTGCGATTATCTATGTGGCAAAGTATTAATGTAAATTTTGCACTACGAACACAGTAGGCAGAGAGACAACGAAAACTCGAGCTACAGGTCCTGACTGGCGAGGTGTGGAGCATTTCTCAACTTTCAGGAAGGAATTTAAACATGACAGAGAGAAACCATATTGGAATTTAAAATCCCAGTCTGTCTGTGCTGTTGGTGTTTTAAAACACACACTGTAAAAGAAGATGGCATGATTTGAAGTGGAGGAAAAAGGAAAAAATTAATTTAATACATCAGTTACCATCAAACTCTCTGAAGACACTAATACTTTTGGTCTGTTTTTGAGGCTCATTTGCATAGAAAGGGGGCCAATTTCTGCCAAATGTATGCATATTACCTTGTTTAAATGTGTGCAAATAACACCAGCACCATGATGCTATTTGCTTGGAAGTGCAGTCAAGGGTGCATTTCAACCTTTGCAGGGCCTTTGAGACTTGCACATTTTCTTTTTGTTTTATTTGTGCAGAATCAGCATCTGCAAAGCCACGCAATCCTTTTGTGAATTCGCCCCTGGGAATGCTCAGACTGTTACCTGGCAGAACGGATGAGATCCTGATGCAATTTCCTGAAGCACTGTGGCAGACTCCCCAAGGTGGTCATATGTGTAACTTAGGTCCACTTTCGTCCCCACAAGAGCCACTTGTAACTCATTGTGAAGCCAGCTGTACCATAGATATAAAAATCATATTAAAGAACATACATCTCTGTTTAACATAACTCAGATATACTAGTTCGATACTGAGATACTGTATTTGGAGCATTTAACATACCCTTTTCTGATTCTTGCATTGAACAGAGGAGCCTCATAGCGTGGGTGTGTGCCAACCAGGAGCAGCAGGTCAGCTTCTTCAATACCAGCGATCCCAGTGTTAAGAAGATAGTTTGAACGCAGGTCAGATCTAAAGAAGCCAAGGTAAAAACAGAAACTTAAAGGGCAGCTCCATTTTATTCCTGAAGTTTTTGTATTAGTCTGGAAGTTTCTGGTCGTGTTCCTTATTTATTAAAATCTTTAAGTTCATATATTTGATGAAGTATGTATGTTGTAGCCTCAAAATACTATTTTCCCAAGCCCTTCTAAAAGCCATTTCCAGTGTAACCTGAAATAGGTTTCTGCATGATGACGTTGCTACATATAACCTTATGTACAGCTGTGGATGCCACATTAGTTTGGTTCAGAAAGTCACACAATAACACAAACAAATTAAACGATTGAGGCAGCAGTAGACCAGCAACTCCCATGTGCTGAGAGGTAAAATTACTGTTTCTGTCTGGTGGAGTCTGATTGCTTTGAAGAGAGCACAGATGGATAAAACGGCTTCAGCTCCCTGATAGAAAGGGCTGTATGACAGCAAGGTAAAGCTGTAAAAATATTCTAAACATAGCATACATTTGAAGTGATACTGATTTTATTTTAGGTGGTCCTTTTTTTAGGTGGCTTAAATACGTTTTGCTGCTGCCCCCGTCCTTAGCAGCCAGATTCCTTTGACAAAAACGGTAATTTTACCTTGCAGAACATTGAGAAGTTACTTGTCTACCTCTATCTCTGATTGGTTAGTTAGTCTGGTTATTGTGTGACTTTCAGAACCAAATTAACATAGTGTCCTCAGCTGTACATTCTTTAATTTCTGTGCCCAGGTACTCCTGTCTGCTTCTCCAAACTGTGAGCATGCCAACCGCCAGCTAACTGTAGGTAATACACTGACTATAAATGTGTTCACACAGTACAAATGCAGTGTATAGCAAACACCATCTTCTCTCTCCATGTGAACCTCAGCAAACAGCTGCAAGTTGTTTAGGGAGGGCATCAGCACTGTAACCTACGTCACTGCTTTTTGCTAGCAGCTGACTGAGGGTTTCCATTTTTGAAGCACAGAAAAGAACGCAGCTGGACACACCCTTTAACATCAGGGCAAATTAAATTGGCTTTGTCCCATGTTCAGTTTTACAGTTAGTCTGTGGCCTTACCCAGCTCCAGTCATTGGGAACGCCTCCTCAGTGCACAGGTTTTCACTGTTCAAACTATTCAGCAAATCTTTCAGGGAAATGAGAGCCTCTGCGTCCACCAAACCTCCGACAACAGCAGCAACATCGTTTCCTTTAACTCCTTGCAGCTGTCAGATAAAACAGGTGTTATTTAGGACAGCCTGAGTTGAAACAACAAGTGGCAAATTATCATGCACTGTCTGATACAGAAGGCCATTTCATTATAAATCACATACTGCTCCAGCAACTCGAGTCAGCACATCTTCCCAGGATGTTGGAACCAACTGCCCAGACTCATTTTTCACCATTGGTTGAATAAGCCTCTGCCTTTTGAGTCCATCATATGCAAACCTGTCAGGATGGAAGCAAGGATGAGTTCAGCATTGATGCAAACATCATACACAAATCTGTCTGTGAGGGAATCTTTGTGTGATTAGACAAGAACCTGGTTTTGTCTGAGATCCACTCCTCATTAATATCCTCATTGAGACGAGGCAGGATTCTCATCACTTCACCCCCGCGAGTGCTCACCACAATGTTGCTGCCAACAGCATCCAAAACATCAATGGACTCAGTCTTCCTGCAGAAAACCAAACGACACATGAGTGTAAAAATTAACCTATGACTAAAATGTTAATCAAAATGTAGTGTACACTCCACAAACCTGGTCTCCCACGGGCGTGCAGTGAATGCATATGGTTTAGAGGTCAGGGCCCCCACTGGGCATATATCAATAACATTCCCAGATAACTCCGACATGAACATCTTCTCCACATAGGTCCCAATCTGCAGGTCGTTGCCTCTGCCAGTGGTGCCCAGGTCCTCCACACCTGCAATCTCACTGGCGAAGCTACAGGAGCAAAAAATATTTATTTTCAATAATCTAAATTTACACAGCAACTCAGCTTACTCTAGATATTGATGCATGACTCACCGCACACAGCGAGTGCACTGGATGCAGCGAGTCATAATGGTTTTGATAAGAGGGCCGATGTTTTTGTCTTCCACAGCTCTTTTGCCCTCTGTGAAGCGGCTCCGGTCACTGCCAAACTGCATGGACTGGTCCTTCAAACAAAAACGGTATTCAGTCTTATTAGTCAATCTCATATTTATAAATGATTTAAAAAGAATGTGTGTCATATTCACACTCATGTCTATGATTAACTCATCTACTGTACACGGGTTACGATGATCTTTTACCTGTAGATCACACTCTCCTCCCTGATCACAAATTGGACAGTCTAATGGGTGGTTAGCCAGTAGGAACTCCATCACACCCTCTCTGTGTAAAATCAAAGAACAGTTGTGAATATAATTATTTGAAGCGGGAGGTTTGGGAACTTTATTTTAGTCCCACAGACAATTGGCAGTAATTATAAGGCAATATGACCTCTACAGGACAAATATGTGTTATTATCAGAGAACAACAGGGTATACAATGTCTTACTTGTGAGTTTGATTTTACCTGGCCTTTCTTGTTTTGTCAGAGTTGGTTAAAATGTTCCAGCCTTTCATGACAGGCATAGCGCAGGCTGCCACTGGCTACAAGATAAATGGAATAAAAGTTTACACTCTGTCTCTGTTAAAATAGGCAACTAAATACTGAAAGACCAGCTTGGCTGCCAAAATAAAAGCAAAACACAAATATACACAGCCTAAAACATACCTTAGGAACCTTCTCTATCTCCACAAGACACATGCGACAGTTTCCAGCAACTGACAGGCGCTCATGGTAGCAGAAGCGAGGAATCTGCACTCCTACCTTCTCACATGCCTGTGACAAAATTGAGTCACAGTGTTAGATCCAATATTATGACTCAAGATGTCAGGAAATGAGCTCTCTATCACATGCGACTGTACAGATGAATTTAGCATGTTACCTGCAAAACGGTGGTTCCTGGCTCCACCATGATAGGGTTCCCATCCACAAACACTTCCAGTAGGTTACTAGCAGGTGCTGTTGCTGTCGCTGCGGTGCGAGCTTTAAGCACACACATGAAACATTTATGCAGACCTTCTCTTCCAAGTACTGTTACTTTTAATGGAAAAAACAGCTGCATAATGCATCATATCTCTATCACATCATATTACAATGAATCCCTGATTTTCCAAAGTGTAACAAATGACTGGCACTGACTACTAATTGGCTAAATTGAGCCAGCAACAGCCTGGCACCAGATGTGGTAGCTGGCAAATCTGACTGTAATCCTGCCTATAATCCATCAGTGGAACAAAGTGACAAGGGTTCTGGTGCTTGCACACCACTAACAACAAACAGGGTGTTTTGCTTAAATACAAGGCACACATTGTATTTAACCAAAGCACGAAAAACTAATCAGCTGATGAATTAGCATATTGTTACCATTGTTAGTTGCTGCCACACCTCCTTTGACAATTGCTGGTGGAAAGAGGCTCCGACTCAGAACAGGCAAACGCAACATGCTGCAAGAGAGGCAACATCACGTGTAAGGTCCAGTTCCTCTAGTTAACACATTTAATAAGAGTCAATAGAAGATATTCAACGGTGGTGCCCGAGAACAACTAGCAAACTAGCAAAGCGGCAACTAAGTTAGCAAAACAAAAACAATAATGTTAGCTGGTCATTTAACGCAGGGGCTGTCACCCAGAGCAGCAAATATATGCTGCGACGTATATTAAAAGTAACATATATAATTCAGGATGCATTTTATACGGCTGTATTGATATAAATAAATGCCCTGGGAATATGAAATAACGAACTGTAGCGTTAGGTAACGTTTAACTAGCCAAATAATGAGCCAAGCTAACGTTAGCAAACTGACATAATTTAGCATTAGCTGACTGTATTAGCTCGCGACATTATCAGCATAACGTTACGCCGGTTATAAATTTGAACTGCCCGCACGTGCAGCTGTATGTAAACGGTTGGAACGTTAGCTCCAAACTCACAGATGTAGCATACAATGCTACAAACAAGCTAACGTAACATATAATGTCAACCTAATTACAGCCGAATAACTTTACTGGTTTGTTCAGTTTTAAGGTGCTGTTTCTAACGTTGGTTCAGCAGTTGTGTCCCGGTTATAAAACGCCCACACAGTAAATAATATTTAATAAACGCAGCGGTGACCAGTTGCTTACCTTGCCGGTGTTTGTCCTTATGAAACTGCCTGCGACGCAGATTGCGCACTGTCTTATTATTCTGCTGCGTCACGGATTAAGTAATCCTGTATACCATAATCCAAGGCTACTTTTCTGTAAATAATGACGAATCTAATCGTGCATCTCTTTAACACTAGACATTACAGTAATGTAAACCCTCTCTTTAGCAGATGCTCGTCACATGTACACCAAATAGTGACAGGCTGTGGCACAGTGGCAGCAGCAGCAGGGTTTTCCCATCACATTGAGGCTTCATCTAATATGGCTTATTCCTCTTTCTGTCTGTAATGAGCTACTTTATAGAGCACTTTTTCGAAAGGTGGAGGGTCACAGGTCCAAGTCCATGAAGTGCCATCAGGTCCTGCTGAGTGTAGTTGTTAAAGGGGAACTTCACCCATTTTTCAAAATTCATACATGTTATTCCTTTGGTATAAGACAGTCCAAAAACATGAACAGCTATCTCCCAAATCCAAAAACTAGAGTGCTAAAACTCAAATTTGTGATGTCACAAGGTATGAAGTCTGGAGCTGCGCCACAGACAATGAATTGTGAAAGAGACGACACCGAGAGCACCCAGGGGAATGATCTGAGTATATGTGTAACAGGGTCAATTATACAGTAGTAATATGTGTAACAGAGTAATTACACAAAATTTGTTTCACTTGATATTATCTGACACGCTAAGGCCTCCATAGTCAATATGTGGAACGTTTGATTTTCAGTTTCTGTACCCCTACGTTCACCTTTTGGGGTACCCCACCTATAAAGAGGTGTCACCCGTCTTACCTCTCCCCTTTTGCTGTTGTACTCCATGGGAGAGGTAAGTGACATCGCTTTTGTGGTAATTTCCATGTTGTTAAGCTATGTTTATAAGATAATTTTATGCTAACATATTCCTGTATCACTTAATTTGTGCAGGGGCTTGAGTTATATGGTTATAATTGACAGAGGATTTCGTTTTTACCTCTTGCTGTCAGGTATGTTTTCTGTGTTTTGTTGTCCTGAATTGAATGTAACATGGCCGCCCCTCTTGCAGTTGTACTTCATGGAAGAGGGGCTCGAGTTACATGGTCATAATTGACGGAAGATTTTGTTTTTACCTCTTGCTGTCAGACTTGTCAGGAATAAACAGAGATCGCCTCCAAAGATATTCACGGTCTGGGCCTCTTCATATCAACACAGCACAGACAACACTTGTGTCCACTGGTTACATATGGGGACATTTCCTGTTTCATAACTGAGGACACTACAATAGAATAAAGCTCATTTGGGAATAAAAAAGAAATTAAACATTCTGTGGGTCCACAAAAACATGGAGCAGCTCCAGACTTAATACTTGATGACATCACAAGTTTGAGACTTATTGCATGAATGAATTAATGAATTTTTAATATTGTATCATGCAAGCAGTTATGCCTAGTCCGCATGGGCTTACGAGATACCATACATTCAGAGCAAGCCAGGCTCAGAATCCAGCAAACATAAACTGAAACATCCTTTTGGAAGACCAAGTTCGTGGATCACTCACAAAGACATTTTAGTGTGTAAGACTGAAAAAAAGAAATCAAAATAAATACTAATTAAACAAACTTCCTTGCCTTCTCTTCCAGGCTTTAGCAACAACATTTGCAAACTTAAACAAATCAAAATTAATTAGCCGTTTTTAACATCTGAGCACCAGAAAATGTCAGGATTTAAACGAGCAGTTTCATAGAATATAAGCTCTAAGTGATCATAGTTTGTACAGTAAAAGAAAACCGGACTAATTTTCCACTTCACCCAAATCATACAGCTCACATATCCTGTCTCCCTCCTGAATATTGTTGACTTTTCTGGTTTCTGGCTGTGAGAGAGAGTAACTCACGTTCATAAATATTGATTGGACCTTCCCAGGCCATGGAAATAACATATTGCAATACTTAAATTTGGTGGTGTTTCCCTTTAAAGAAGGGTGAAATGTGTCCTTCCTGTCCATATCTTTAAAGTTTTTCCAGGGATTCAATTTAATCCATTCAAGTCAGAGTTCACCCGGGAGAAATAACAGGAAATGGCTGGTAAACAGACCCTCAGGAAATGGAAGGAACTGCACATCTGGATTTATGTCAGGCTCGTGTATACCAATTTCCACCTGAGACTGTGTGTACATAAAACATCAAAGCCTGCTTTTAAATAAAAGAGTAAAGAAAACATTAAAGTACAGCAGGTGTTCAGAGGAAGATTTATTTATAAATGTGCTATTTACTTGTAATATATTAGAATAAAACATTTATACAACTCTCAACTAGTTTAAAAATCTTACAATACATTAATAAGTGACTAGCAGCCAGTATAAAATTATATAAAAACAATGTTAGACTACAAATAGATTTATGCAACATATTCATCTCTAAGAACCAAAGACACCGTGCTTCAAGAGTACAACAATGAAAAAATCAGCAATACATGAGATGCATTTGATATAAGACTGCCACTAATGATTACTTTCATTATTGATTTATCTGCCAAAGTTTCACTTGCTCTCTTTTGTCTGAGCAACAGTCCAAAACCCAAAGATATTCAGTTACTAGCATAGAAGTCAAATAAATTCAAGCAGCAAATTCTCACAATGGAGAGCCAGGAAACAGAGAATGCTTAGGATCTTTTTTTAATGATTTAAATGATTAATTGATTATCAAAATATTTGTAGATGGGGTCCCCAGTAGCTCAGTAGGTAGGGCAGGCACCCCGTGTGCAAAGGCTGTGTCCTTGCCGCAGCGGCCACAGGCTCGATTCCAAACCGTGGCCCTTTGCTGCATGTCATCAAACTGTCCTGTCATTTAAGGCAAAGAAAGCCCCAAAAATAATCAGAAAATGCTTGCAGATTAATTTTCTATTGATCAACCAATGAGCTGTTTCAGCTTTGGTTTTATCTCTGAAAATCCCTTGTGCTATGCAAATGAAAAATAATGGGAAATATGTCGTTCTACTCAGCTTTTCCATTGAGTGTAGTCCAAATGAAACAAAATAGGAAAATCTTAACACTACAGCTGGAAAGAACAGCTATGGTAATCGTCCACATTTACGCTAAAGTAATGTTTTTCATGGACAACTACTACAGTCTGAGGATGGTTGTAATCATAGAGTCGACGACTCCACAGGCTCCTCTGGGACACTTTCCTGTTGAACTGCTGGCACAGACTCCATCTCAGTGGCAGAGATCGACTGGCTGAGCTCTCTCAGTGAACTCTTAGTAATGTCCAGGCATGCACGCTTCAGGATGTGACGCACCTTTTTGCCCAGGAGCATGTACAGGAGGGGGTTAATGCAGCTGTTAAAGAAGCCTAAGCTGTTAGCGAGAGGAAAGCCAGCTTTCAGGATGCTGTGTAGGTACATTGAGGAATGCATGGATAACTCCATCAAGCTAAAAGTATGAAAAGGTGCCCAGCATAGAAAGAAGGCGAGAATTACAGCAGAGACTGTTTTGGAGAAGCTGGACAGCCGAACTGATCCCCGAGATTGATTCACTTTGATTGTCAGAAGTATACCTGTCACACATATGGCACTGAAAGGCAAAAGAAACCCCACAGTGGTTCGAATGACCACTATCGTAGTGTGTCTCATGGCCGCCGTGTGTCCGTCCTGTGTGTGGAAGTTGTTGAAACACACGACTTTGTCGTGTAGGCGCATGGTGTCGCGAAAAATCAATGCAGGGCAGCTTGTGATGGCAGCCACCGCCCATATGCAACAACATACATACCAGGCTCTCTCTGTAGTGCGATACCTCTGAGACCAGTTGAGGTGGACCAGAGAGACATATCTGTCTATGCTGAGCACCGTGAGAAACAGCACGCTGGCGTACATGTTCATCACGGACACAAATGAGTTAATCTTACACATGAACACGCCAAAGTCCCAGTGGAAGTCCCGCAGGATGTAATCGATGTAGAAGGGAAGAAAAAGAACAAAGACAAAGTCTGCCATGGCGAGATTGAGCAGCCAAATGCTGTTGACCGTCTTTTTGCTTTTAAACGCCGTCACCCAGATGACGGTTCCATTTCCAATCAGCCCGAGCACAAAGGAAATAATGTAGATGACCACTGAGATGATGTGCATAGTTTCCCTCTGCCTGTGCTCTACTTTAAGCTCCTCTAAGTCGCCGTACTCCAGGTAGTATTCATAGGTGTAATTTTCGTAGTCCTCGCCAGAGTCACCCATTGTTGCACGGACGTAACCTCTGCGGTGAAGTTATCTGTGGGAAGGAAAAGCCAATGATAAGAAGCATTCCTGTAGGACGATGCGTAAATACAGACATTCCCAAGCATTATAATCAACCTGTTCTCATCTCACACACTCTGTGATTATATTGGGCTGCTCCCCAGAAGGACACAGTTGTCTGTCCTGTCCCTCTGTCTGATCATCCAGTTCCTGTGTTGAAGCTGGGACTGGGTGTGTCCTGAGTAACCCTGGAACACAGTGTCAACATCCCTCCGGATCAACAATGTGGACAGTGAGATGCCCCACACATGAGACAGCAACAGGCCTCGTAGTATGATTCATAGTGTTTGTTGCACAATTGTATTGGCATCATTCATCTTTTCCAAGGTTATTATCGTCCAAACATCTGGGTTGAAAGGGGTTTTTTTTTGTTTGTTTTTTTTAACATATTACCAATATTTGTATCTTCATCAAGGCCAGACGAGGGCTCATGTCCACAGCAATGTTTACTTAAGATGGATTCAAAACAAATTCACCATGAGTTTGTGGTGGCTGAGATGAATGTTGTTTAAGTCACACTCATGTTTTTCAGGCTATTTCTAGTTTTCATTGCACAATACAAATGTATCCATGTATAGTCTATAAATGAACTTTGACAAAACAAGTTCATGTAGACAGTGGCAGATCCTCCAATAGGTGACATAGGCAGCCACCTTGGATGGGACAGGGGGCAGCATTATTATTATTATTATTTCATTTTACATTTTATTTATTTATTTTTTTGACTAAAAAAAAAATCGTACATTAGGGAAATGGAGTGGAGTGTCTGTGGAGAGCATTATAGTACGAGAAAATGAAAAGTACAAACACAAGAAGACGAAATGTGCAAATTTGCACATACTGCATTCTTTCGTAGTTATGATTATTGTTTGTTAACTAAGTTGTTTAATTGTGTTGGTTTGTCTTTGCTCCTGTTCTTGTTCGTTAGACACACATTTCGTCTTCTTGTTTTTGTACTTGTCATTTTCTCGTACTCTAATTCTCGCCTCATACACTCCACCATTTCCCTAATGTTCGATTTTTTAATGTTAAAAAAATAAAATAAAAAAAGCAAAATAATAATAATAAAATAATACTTTTAAATTAAATTAATTAATTAAATTAATTAATTACTTTTTTTAATAATTTAATTTAGTTATTTTTTTGGCAGGAGCTGGAGGCTTGCCTAAGGTGCAGGATGTGTCTATGTCTGGCACTGTAAGTAAAAATTATAATTACATGGTGGTATTAAGCTACCAGAACAACTTTAAAAATATGAATTAAATCTCAATCTCAAAGAAAAATAAGCAAACATGCTTAAATAATCACACTTTGCCAAAAACGTGTGTTGACCATCAGAGGAGGCAGAAACTGTTTCACAAACCATTGCAACCAACAAATAAATAAAAAGTTGAATATGTCCTTAAGAAAAAAGAAAGCTACTGCAGATATCAATACACCAGCAAACAAAAGATAAACGTGTACTACAAAGACAAGAAACCTACTGGACAAAATGCTGAATGCAAAATCAGTGCAGTCAACAAAAAAAGATGTGGAACCTGTCCCATAAGAATGAGGGCTATATCAGGATTATATCTACATGAAAATCAATGCAAAAAAACATGGTTTATATAACAGATATCCAGCCTGTTGAGTAAGAAATAACAGTCATAGTATAGTGAGTGCCACATACACACTATTGGCATACTAATGGGATTAACATGAAGGGCTTTCCCGTTTAGATCAGAAGCAGAGAGTGCATCGCTTACCTCAAAGTGCACTGCTCCCTTTTATTAGTGTCTGGATCAGAAAACACCGACAGCTCCCGGGTGGACGTGACTGCTAACGTTTTTAGCCGTTTAGCTCCGTTTTGCTGGGCCTTGTCCGTAACTTCCCCATTCGCTTGCAAAACTCTTTGTGCAGCATGTGTAGTCTTTCCGTGAGTCCATCCAAACTCTGCTCCGTTAGTGTGTGCAGAGGAGCTGAGATGTGCAGTGGGCGCGCCTGGCTGACGCGTCAAACATGAACCACAGTATGAAGAAAAGTTATTGGTCACCCGCACTGAAGAATGCTTTCATTCAGAGGAGCTGCGGCTGCTTCTCATAACAGCAGAGTAAACCCCCGGTGCACGCTTTTCCCCACCTCACTGAATAAACGGAAAAGTTTTGAATGCTGCAGATTTTTTCTCCTAAAATGCACAATCTGCTTCAGTGGGTGGGAAGGGCCAAGTAAGGGAAAGTTTATTTAAGACTGTCATCTGCCTTTTCCCTCCTCTTACAAGGCGTTTAACGCTTTGATTTAGTACCCAGTTAATTGGTGATCATTATAAGAGAATAAACTTGTGGCAGGCCTTCACGGTTTCTCTCTGGATGTGCAGGCGGGCTTAGTACACTGTAAAAAGTTTGCCAAAACAACTTGGTGAATCCAGTGTTATTTCAGCCCTATCTCCAGACATAATATTGATGTTGAATGATTCTGCAAAAGCCACATTGTTTCCTGTCAGTGCCAGCCTTTTTAAAATTATTTATTCCCACAATATCACTGTATAGTTAGGTAGGCTATGGTTACAGGGACTGCATTTCCTTAAAGTTGGGGACTTGTAAGACATGAGTTAAAGATAAAAAATAAGCATGGTCCAACCTATAATACAACTAATACAATTATTTATATAGCATTGTTCAAAACAGATGTTACAGAGTGCTTCAGAAGACAATAAATGCAGAAAAAGAAGCAAAGTTAAAACAATAAGGTAACTAATAATGCATCCATCAATCATCAATCCATCCATCTATCTTCATCTGCTTATCTGGGGCTGGGCTGCAGGGGCAGCAGGCCAAGCAAAGCACCCCAGACATCCCTCTCCCCAGCAATGCTTTCCAGCTCCTTGTGGGGGACCCCAAGGCCTTCCCAGGCCAGATGAGATATGTAATCCCTCGAGTGTATTCTGGGTCTGCTTCGGGGCCTCCTACCAGCGGGACGTGCCTGAAACACCTCCAGCGAGAGCAACTAGGAGGCATCCTGATCATATGCCTGAACCAGATTAATGGACCTCTTTAGACGTGAAGGAGCAGCAGCTCTACTCCGAGCTCCTTCCAGATGTCCAAGCTCCTTACCTTATCTCTAAGGTTGAGCCCTGCTACCCCACAGAGGAAATTCATTTCGGCTGCTTGTAGCCGCGATCTCTTTGGGCTCATCCCAATACCCCCCCTAAGCCCTACCCCTTGGCCCTACCCATAGATTTGCATGTTCCCGCGAGGGGTAGGGGTGTCCCAATTCCTTTTGCGTGTAGGGGTAGGGGGCATAACAAGGGGTAGTGGGTATGAAACTAGCCCTTTGGAGCAAGGGATTTCAGATGCTGACTTGACAGCGAGGGGTAGACGTCACGATGGCTACCACCGAGCAAGAGACGGGGAAAAAAGTTCATACGTGTACGTATAATTTTGCAAATAAACATGGAACTTTTGTAAAAACATTTTCGAATAACTGTGTATTTGTGTAGAGAACGGTATAACAATTTTTTATTGCTATTCACAGTGTCTAGATTGGAGTTGACAGAAAGCTAGCCAGCTAGCTACCTAGCTTGCACTATCTGGTGTCTGTCATCTGTCCTGTTCTGCAAAATTATTGGATTTTTCACATTACAATAACACGCCAGCTAGTATAGCTATGCTACCTCGTAATGTTAGATGGTTAGCTAGCCAGCTAGCTAGCAGAAGTCCCCTGTCGTACATAATTTTGTCGTCTGTAGTTCATCAGACGAAGCATGATGAATACAACAAACGCAATCGGTAGGATGAACTCAACTTAAGACTCCATTGTAGATGCCGGTTGGAAATGTACATGGCTCACGGCTTCCTGTTTAAATAGTTACGTATGCGTGAACGTAACCGACGCAGTGACGTAGTGAGTGGTGTCCCAGTTCCTAGGGAAAGATTTCAACCCCTACCCCTCGTTGCTTCATTTCAAGGGCAAAGGGATAGTGGGCAAGGGCAAGGGGTAGGGCCAAGGGCTAAGGGGTAGTGGACAAGGGGGGGTATTGGGATTGGGCCTTAATTTATGTCACTACCCAGAGCTCATGACCATAGGTGAGGGTTGGGACATAAATGGACCAGTAAATCGAAAGCTTTGCCTTCCAGCTCAGCTCCCTCAAAATGAAGCACCAACACGCTGATCCATCTCACGCTCCATTCTGCCCTCACTCGTGAACTAGTCCCTGAGATACTTGAACCCCTTTGCTTGGGGCAGTAACTGTAATAAAACAGAACATACCAATAACAACATGATAGTAAATTAAAGAGTAAAACAAGGTGTTAAAAACAGATATAAATACATAAATGTGTCTAAATATGCATGCATAAACTAAGCACATAGCTCATTCAAGAGGAAATATCCCAGATACATGACGACTTAATGCACATACTAAGACTAAAAACATTCAGCAACTAGGTCATCCCTCGAAAGACAACTTATATAAGTGTTTTGTGAAAGAGTCAACAGACTCAGCTGATCTAATGGGAGCGGGGAGACTGCTCCAAAGTCTGGGGGCAAGAACAGCAAAAGAGCAGACACTGTTGGTCTTGCAGTTGGTGCGCGGTATGGCCAGCAGGGTTTGGCTGAATGATCTAAGTGGCCACTCAGCAGTGTAAGGAGTTAGCTTTGAAATGTAGGCAGGAGCTAGCTCATGAGGTTTCCTATAAGTGATTAAAAGAATCTTAAAATCAATTCTGAACTCCACTGCAGCCAACGCAGCGAGGCTAAAATAGGAGTAATGTGAGATCTAAGACCAGTCCTTGATGCTGCATTTTGTACAAGCTGAAGAAGTGCCAGGGCAGTATGACTAAGGCAAGTGAGAAGGGCATCAGCTGATAGTAAAGGTAACACTCAACATCCATCATCTCTCTAAGTCCAACCCCCTGTTGAAAATGTAAAACTGAAGCTTCAAGCCCAGAGATGACCACAATGACTTATCGTAGCACTCCCATGATGAGCTAATACATGTTCATGTGCACAATCATTAAAGTGTCCATTTAATTTTTTCATCTCTACAACACCCATTCATCGAAGTTCAGCATGATTAAGGTACTATTAAAAAATTTAGTAATAGGCTTCAATAGAGTAATGGGGGACGAAAATGGTAAATGCAACAGAGGCTGAAATATTTTGACTTTTATGCCCTAGTGTGAGTCCAGATCCAAAATGCTTGATCCTAGGCCTCCCATAATGCAACATAATAACGTTAGACCCCCTGTGTTTGGTAAATGCCATGGATGTACAAAGAGAACTGGATACAGCGCTGGAAGCAGGAGCATAAGGCCAAAATTGTTCGACTGCCACGTATGAAAATCCCTGGATGAGCTGGCCACTTCCAGTTTAGCCCTCCACTAACTTGAATGGGGATACAATGAATTAATCGTGCAGTTTGTCAAGACTTTCCAAATCTTATTTGACCGAATGGATCAGATTCAGATAGTGAAACAAGTAATTTTGTGGAGGTTGTGATGCTCAAAAAACGTATCCATTGATTTACAGACATCTCTTTCACAATATGTCTATGGGAAAAGGTCTTTTTGGGCCCACTGGCGTCCACATGGCAGACTCTGAAGTTGTAATTCCACTGTTTCGCCACTATGAAAATTGTCTTCAAAGCCTGGCACATTTCTAGTATCTAACGCCCAAACTCACACTTGACAAAGCTCCATCAGAGCCACAGAAGACGTCATACAAAAAATATATTGTTAATAATGAACATTGGCAATAAATACAGCTGTCTTTTCTGCCTAAATCACAAACTATAGAGAAAATAGAGAGTCTATCACAGTTTACATCAGTGCTGCCAAACTGCTCTTTATGGGGTTTAACTTTTCAAACATGTTGCTCCCCTGGCACCACTCCAACCCCAACACTGATGTCACAGACACCCAGCTAAAGGCAAAACACCTGTTATGACATCATCGACGGAGGCATAGCCAGAGCTTTTTTCAGGCTGAATGTTTTAATTGCCCAGTGTGATTTAGCACGGAGTCACTCTTTATGTCACGAATAAGAAGTAAATCACGTTAATAACAAGTGAAGTTACCTCCCACAGCTCAGGCAGCAGTAAGTTTTACTTACTGCTACCTGAGCTGCTTACTTTTAATCAGCTGACCTTTGTAGGAGAGATGTTAGTTGTATTAAATTAGTCAGATTTAATAGGAACCGTCTGATGCAAGGTCGAACTAATGAAGACTTAGCTTGTTCATGCGGATTCCGCTGCTTACTCGACCCCTTTTTCTTTGATCAGACAGTCTTGTCTCAGTTGTCTCAGTATCCAGCAACCCAAAATGACCATCTCATCCCTCTGTGGACTGTTCAGCCCTGAGGGGGGAGCTGTCACATCCTCCAAGAGCCCCGTGTGTGTGTGTGTGTATGTGTGGGCAATCTGCATAGCCTTACAATGAAATCTACAACTCATGCCATACGCTCGTTATAGTTCATGGCCCATGTCACACAGTCTGCCTTTAAGATATTCTGCTATCTCAAGAAGAGACTGGGGCACATTAAGGGTTCTCACTGGGACTTTTAACTCAAAGAAACTTAAAGGAGCTATTGTAATCACTCTTGAACACCAGTGTTCATGATGTTCCTCACGTACCGTCTCAGCAAGCTCGGTTTAGATCTCATTTCATTTTACATTTACTTGCTCAGCTGTGGCATTGAAACACTTTATATTCATATGATAGCGATAACTCACACATACATGGCACCTAAAGTTAAATCAAGAGGATCAGTCATAATGTTTGCTGTAGCTCTATGAAGTGTTTCCTCATAAATGAGTTATTTTCAGTGAAAAAAAGCCAATGTAATTGTATTTAGGGCATTGTGTGTTGATGGATTGGGTGCTTACCTTATCGGCACAATGATGGGAGAAACTCTGGAATGGAGTCAGTTTATAAAGCACAATTAATTTTGAGGAAACTAATTTTGATTTATATACATCATATAAATGAAATGAGAAAAGAAAAATGCTTTTACGTAGGTGTGATTTGTGAGAGATCTCACTCATATTGTTTCTGGGGTGGATGACTTGACCTTTAAGATGACGGTCAAAAGGTCAAACTTGGCCAAATGTCAAAGGTGTAGATAATAAAATTAGCGATGGATGAATTCCATTTAGCTGCCTCAGTGTCAGGGTTTTGGTATTGTGCATGCTGGCTCACTGTCACACTGCCATGGCTTATTGGGACACTTTCATAGAACAGATCCACTGTTGATGTTATTAGTAACCCTGTGTTTTTCCTGCTGTGACAAATCAAAATGTCTGCTGTGCACTTTGCTGCTGTGGTCTGTGCCTCTATCATAAGATTAAAAATGAAATTTTGTGTTATGATGTGCAGTAATAAAATACATAAGTACAAATTTGAAGTACAGTAGGCTCGGCCTACTTGTATTTTACTCGATTATTTCTATTCTACGTGACTTTATACCTGGACTTCACAACGTTTCAGAGGGGAATTCTGCATGTTTTTACTCTACTACATTTATTTGACAGCCATTAATTACTAGTGACTTCAAAGCTCAGGATTTTACACAAATAAAGTGATCAGCTTACACAGTATGAAGCATTGTTATAGGTTAAACCACCCAACAACAGAATATAACCAATAGGTATCGTAGTTAACTTTGCTTTTACCAGCTGACACATAAAATGCTGCTCACCCATTAATGCATCAGTTATGAAATTACCAAATAATGGCTAATGAACATATTAAGTGCATTTTACTGCTAAATCCTCTAATTGACCTGTCACTAAGCCCCGCTTCTTTGTGATGGTCTGACAAACTGTCGGAGTGAGCTAACTGCACTCCCTGAAGAAATATTATCATATTTTTGGAAAAATGAAACAGTGATTCCAGAGAGAAGCAGACAGAGGGGTCTACAGTCTGTGTTTGAAGGATATATCCAGGATGTCAAACTGACTCAGCAGCAACAACAGGTCAAAAAGACAAAGATAGTTAGAAGCTAAAACCGAACTATAGGCTACAGATCACAGTGTAAAAGTGAACCACCACATCACTGCTGATCACCACAGAAGACAATGAATATAAAGGGAAACTTTGCTGATATTGAACCAGCTGTGTGGCATCACAGTGTGTGCAGATGAACGGTGCCTGTGCCACTGCCAGCACCCAGACTTTCACCACCGGACAGGCAGGGATCTCCAGAGGAAGTCAAACAACTTTTATCAGTGATCACATCTCTGCGTCATCACAATGCGATGACATAGAGCTGGTTGAATATCAGCAAAGTTTCTCTGCTTCCCTTCACTGGTTCCTGTACAGCAGGGTAGGTCTTTATTCACTGTTATAATCATTAAAAGCAAAAGCAGCATGTGTATACATTCAGTAGGCTATATCTTCAGTTGTTAGCTAACTAACCCTACACTTTTCAGGGTTTGATTTTGGTTTTTGAACAGGGAAGAAACGTGTATCTTTTTCCAACCTCACCAGGTAACGAGTATCACGACGCTGGTCTGAGCCGGCCTGATGCTACATTATGAGGTCTTAGTGAAGGATCAGTTAACATTTAGGCTACTGTAAATTAAGGAACCAAAGTTGGCCTATGTCAAGATGTGATTCCTTAACTCTTCATATTGAAATAGTTTTCAACTAGCCTGTTTTCTACAGCATGAATGAATATCTGAAATTCAGTCATGGCTTTTGGTTTTGGTATGCCACCCCAAGATTTTCAGCGGCTCCATCTGGCCACCCCTACGAAAAATTTCTGGGGGCACCACTGTTTATAACCATGATATTATAAGACGTAGCTAAATCCTTAAATCCTACCCCAAATCATACCCATTTATTATATATTACTACAATGACTGGAACATTATGCGATAAAATTTGGTTTAATGCTTGCTTATTTTTTTTTACATATTCTTTTATATGTTTTTTTTTTATTTTACAGAGGCGTGATGCGTTCACTTGATCAAATATTTGCCCTGTTTTTCTGAATTAACACAACTATAATCTCTGTAATTCACAAAAAAAACAGCATATTATTTTCTCAAGTGTATGTTTATGCTCTCTTAGTTTTTCTCCTTATCATAACAAATAAAAAATCACCCATGTGAAATGATCATCTCAGTGTCACAGGGTCATTTCCTGATGTGATCACACATGTCTTTGAGGTCACCTGCGCGGGCTTCCTGTGGTCCAGGAGGGAGGAAGGACATGTTTGTGCTCATCGAGGAGGAGTCTGCTGGTTGACTTCCAGTAGCTGCCTGGCCACCGCCTTCTTTCTGCTCCCCCCCCTCCCTTCCCTCCTCATCCCCTCTCATCCTCCTCCTCACCCTCCTCCTCCTCCTCCTCCTTCAGCCGCTACTGCAGCAGCATCCCGGTGCCTCCTGGATCCATGAAGAAAGCCCCCCTGCACGGCACGTCCCCCGCCACGATGGGCCGCGAGCTATATACTGCGTTGTTGTGTTGATATCGAGATATTTCAGTTATCAAATATGAATCATGCATTTGATATTTCTGGCCACTTTGCTCGTCAGCATCCTTTCGCCTTGGCTTCATCCATCACTAGCGTCATCCGGTACGTATTGCAACAGCCCGCTGGCTGCTTTATTTGTCACTTTCATGTAACTAGACACACCTTTTACTTTGTGTGTTGGGCTAAAATAATATCTGATGGTGTACTGCAGGTGCACAGCATCGCGTTTTTACCTCCCCTAAAGATATTTGATTTAATATGCGGCGTATTCAGCGTGATGGTGCATGAGGCAGACTACAGCATCTCAGCATCTTTTGTTCAGCTTATAAAATATAGTGCTCTTTATTATGTGTGAGTGTCATATTTAACACTAACAGTTGCTGGTGCTCTTTTTACTTCAAGTGCATGGCATTATCTGGATAAATATGTTTTGATAATATTGTATAATGCACACTGCATTTATCTTTATGGTGCAGAGTTTTTCACTTTGGGAACAGCTCCATCAAAAGTGCCTCTCTGTGAAATGTATCCATCTGTATTCTGTCATATGTGGTTGTCAGTACACAAGAGCGTGTATGCAGTCTTTCTAAACACTGTCCTAAGAATGGCAATGAAGCCGTGGCCACTTGCCTCAGTATTATCAATGCGTTTCATGAATAAAGCATGACAGCTGGCTGTGTGCGTGTGTCTTTATACGTGTGTGTCAGGTTTTTCATGTCCGTGCGGTGGGAATTGTCTTGCAGATTCTCAAGGAGCAGGGGACAAGGTTGAGAGGGACGCAGTGCCAGCCCTGCTGAAGCAACAGGCAACTGCAGCACCTGCCACAGACAACACAACACAGCATGCAGCAGAGCATGTGATCACCTACCCCTCGCGGTTGATCTACTACCTAAACGAGGACTCGGAGAGCACTTACCATGACCTGGACACCCGCACCAAGAACCAAGCCACAGACGGGCAGGTAAGCCAGGATGCGGGAGATTGATACTGGCATGTGGTGAGAAGAATTTCCTAGAAATATCAGTGGTCAATAGCAGGAGTGTCCAGGCATTTAAAAGCATTCTCCATGGTCGAGGCTTTGAAGTTTTAAATCCAGATTATGGCTCCTATTAAACGTTAACCTTGCCTGTAATGTCATTTTACTGCACAGTGTCAGACAAAGCAAAGACACCCATCACTCCTAACACATTAACAGATACACTTTAGGAACTGGAACCATGCCAGAGCGACCATGCTGAAGGAAGCCTTTCTTCCAGTATACCCACTGTGCATTACCATCTGCCATCTACCACCACATCTGTTATTTGTGCACTGTGCTGTAGAGGATGCTGAAGGTGGACTCTGGAGGATTTTATGTTGGTAGACAGCTATAGTCTTATACTTTGCATCATGTAATGCAGTGACAACTCTTTTCTCCTTCACAGGCGGTCCACCTCGCCCAAGCCAGTTTCCAGTTAGAAGCATTTGGCTCCAGATTTGTTCTGGATCTAGCACTGAACACGTAAGTCCTTCTTATATCACTACAGTAATGCATTTTAGCTAAAGCAATTGAATTTATAGACAGTAGGGCTAGGTATTGTTTTAAAAATGATGATACCAGTACCAATACCAGAACCCTTAAAGTGATATGGATAGGGTACTTCATGTGATACCCGTTATGTGAATGGAGTGGAGTGTAGGATAGCCATACTGAACCTCCAACCTTTGTTAATACACCTTGCTCGACTTCACCAGACCACAGCTTGTATGGGTTGGAGCTGCTTCTGCGGGAGTGTGAGCTCCACACTGAAAACTGGACTATTGCATCAGATTTTGGACAGACTGTATGCACTGTGCCACAGGAAGTTAGCATAAAAACAGATTAGCGAAGAGATTGATGAATGTAAGACAGCTCTATTAAGAGATTTGTCTTAAGTGAAAATTTCGATGGCATGTTTAGCCAGCTAAGATTGGTAGTATGATAGCTGTGTACCATGTAGAGTTCTCCAGGGATAATGTTTTTCTGTAGGCTGCCCTGGTCCCCTTCATCAGAAAGTCTATGGGATTTTTCTATTGGATTGGAAAATTGTAGAAAATAAACTCTGTGGCAAACAATTATGATACTTAGATGTTTTGTTCAGCCAGATAATCTTCACAAATGACCACTTTTATGATTTTTGAAGCGCAAGTGCAATTGCCAGAAGTAAAAAGCTAACGTCAGGCTATAAACAAACTACACCACAGTCGCATGACTCAATGTCGCCACCACAGCAACCTGTAAAGCCATGTTTGGCGTGATGAAGTTCTGTAGTCTCATTTAGCCACTCGTTAGAAACCACCTTTTTAAAGACACACATAAGCTTCAAAATCTTGAGTCAAATATGTACTGACTAATTTAATGCTGTAGAACAAAAATCGCTTAAGCATTTGTCCACCACAGACCTTATTTCAGGCGTCCAACCAAAAACTCAAAAAACATTGACTTCAAGCCGAGGGAACCAGGGATGTGAAAATCCAAACTCATTTTCCAGGTTTTTGGACTCATTCCTGGACCACTCTATAGAGCGGTGATTCCCAACTGGTTGGTAGTGGTCCAAAAGTGGGTCGCGGGTCCATTCTGAATGAACAAGCAAGTGACTCGCAAACGTGTAAAGTTTGTAAAAAACACACTTTATTTTTGAGTACAGTGAATTTCCAGCACAGAGCTTTTATTTTGAAGTGCCGTTTCCCACTGTAGAGTGATTGACAAATGGACAACTACTTGACAGAGACAGCAAACTAGCTTGAAAGCATGGCCAACCGCAAGTATAATGCTGAATGTATTAAACTGTGTGGACCTTGAACCAGTGACTAAGGGGAAATCTGGAGCCTGTGGCTGGACCAGTTGGGAACCACTGCTATAGAGTGCATGCACAGTGGGTCATATGTCTTTTAACATAGTATTTCAGAAAACATCACTCGTCCAGTTTTTGCCTTTTTACTGATCCATGCACATATTCCATAAGATTGGATGATGAAAAACACTCAAAATTAATTTTCTGCCATTTCTGCGGCAGCGTTTTTATCCATCTGCAAAGAGATGTATTTCCTTATGTTGAACACTAGAGGTGTATGGCGTATACTATATGGAAATATGGACACAAAACAAAACATAACAGTTATTAATGGGTGCAACAACAGATTCGAGCCATTTTGCTGTCGTTGTGAGTTTGTCGGGATCGTTTAACACCTTACTGCTGTATTAGCTCGTGCTAACTGGGCAGATGTTGAATGAAAGTTCAATGAAAGTTTGGTGATCCAGTGGGGAGTTTAGACAGTTAGGGATCAAAAAGGATTGGATGCATGTATCGTTTAGCTGGACACATTTTGATACTGCTTGGTACTAAGTAATTTTGATAAATACCTTATAAGGGCATTGAGTACCAATACCCAGCTCTGACAGAAAGTGAGCCGCTCTGCTCATTAAAGTAAATTCCACTCAGATACCCACACAGTTAGCCATAATGGCTGCTACACTTTCTAGTGTTTACTACCAGTCAGACACAGAGACTGATTGTAAAAGGATTAATTCCCAGAGTCTTTACAATGGAAGTGATGAGTGCAAAGTTGGCACAATTCGTAGAGCCACAATAGCCACATTTAGGGGAAGTACAGCAGGTTAGAATATAACGGAATTTCCCTTTAAGCATAACAAACTTTGTGGTTGAATTTCCAGTGAAAAGAATCTGCCTGTGTCTGCTGTCAAGGTCATGTTGACAGCATTGTACAGATTCATCAGGGGTTTAAGAGAAGCTGTGTAAACCTTCCTGCCACAACAGAGCCACACTGACTCTTCCTATGGATATTATAGAAAACACTTTCAGCATCCTGTACAAAACATTATAGGAAAGCATCAAAGGAAAGATAGGTTTAGGGTTTAATTTAGGGTTTTATTTCTTAGTGCAGGGCTGTTGAGTTGTACTAATTCAAAGCTCTCTCCCATGGAGTCTGCCATGTTTCTACAGTAGCCCAGAATGGACACAGGAGAGGTTTCAGTCCTGCAACCTCTCTGCTAGATGCCACTAAGTCCTGCATGCTGGACCTTTGAATGCAGGCCTAATGTTAGCTAAATGCACAGTTTAAGATGTGCTTTGTAGGAAAAATTGACAAGAATAAAAGTGAAATAAATATTGTATTGGAGAAAGACACAAAATCATGCTCAGTAAGTAAACAAGTGAAGTAGGAACATCATACACCAAACAGGATCAAAGGCAGTATCAGATAAAAAAAACATGGTAACTGAGCGTATTGACAGACTGTGAGACATGACACGAAGCGGCGGTTGAGGCTGAATAAAGATGAATTTAACCGAAACACTGAGTCGTCTGACTCTGATAAGATCACGCCCTCACGGTGAAAGTCTGGCTTAGTGCATCAAAATGATCAGAAAGTGCAAGATACCGACTCTCTGAGCAAGCAATATGTGTCACAGCCGAAACCAAACTGACAACACTTGTGTTTCCCGTCTGCAGATGACTGCTGTTTGTAAAGGATATGTGCTATTATATGTCAGATCAGTGATTAATGCGGCGTCAGTCAGCGATAATGTAATCAGGGAAACTGTAATTGAATAGGTCAGCGCGCTAGTTTCCAGAATCCTCCCGGTGCTAAAAGCAATCTTAGTTCAGCCGCCAGACTATACACACAGGCTGTTTAAGAAAATGATTTGGAAAACCAGAAGTCTCTGTCTTTAATGAGGTTTAATGGGTTTGCATCAAAATCAGCTGGGAGACGGTCACTCTAGTGTGTGATCACATTGGGAGACACGAGGCTCCAGACACTCAATGATATTGATTTACTCTCTTCACAAAGTCGCCGCTGTACATGTGTGAAGGCTTAATGTCCATGTGTACAAGGACTTTGAAGTGCTGATTGAATTCCAGCTCCCTTAAAGTGATTTAAAGCTATATAATATTGTAACTTTATATTGTCTGCATGACCGAGTTTCTGTTAGATGTGAAGACTTACACATTTGTTTTTTTTAGTCTGTGTGTAGGTATTCAGTCTCTGGTTACTTAAGAGCGTAAATTCATCACTTTAGCAAAAAACAAATTATGGAAACCTTGAACCAGGTTTGTTGAGGATATCTTTATTTACTTGGATAGCTGGTAAATGAAGTGAAATAATCCTGGATGCCAAAAGTGTGAGCATCACTTCAGTGCCGGAGTAGAAACCTACAAAGTGCAGATTTGAGCAGCTAAATTCAGTAAATAGTGTGTCTTTGTGTGGAAATGTACAAGGTCAAGTAATGTAGGAAAGACTCAAGAAAGTATGAATAAGCTCCATGTTGTGAGGAGACCACATGTCTGACTACGCTTACTGAGGAGTTGATGCCAATCAGCGTATCCTCATACAACAGTTCGTTTGACATCTAGCGAATTAGCTCCCTATGAATGATGTTAAGTTACACAGGTTAGGTTTAGGTAAAGAAACATGGTGACTATGTACCTTAAAATAACTCATAGTTTACTTGGTTTAACACAGGACGTGAACACAAGTCTCCTGTAGGCAAGTCTTGTGTTGTTTGCCTCCTTTTGCGGACTTTCCCTTCGTGATACTATTTCCTTCTTTTCTCCCTTCAGTGCATTGCTCATGTGATTGCAGCCTTCCCGATAATGTGGGTTATACACGAATTACTGGCTCATGATTATGTTGATTATGTGCCAACTGTGGTGAATTACTTTTCGTAGGTATACTTATGAACAGTGCGTGAGAACAGCCTGTGCCGCTGTATCAGGAAGGCCAATGGGCGAGTCATCCCTGGCCATGATATCTCCAACGTTTCTGTCTTTCTTCACTTTTTTCTAAATGGAATATATTCAGTGAGGTTATGTGGAAATATAAAAAAAAAATATTGTCACACATGTTTTGTTTACATTGTTTGCAGCATGTGTTAAGTCGCACACAGACAGTAGGGACTGAACTCTCCTCCCGTCATTCACAGCTCACACAATCTCACATCGTGTTTAAAAGCTGTCATCCTGTGCATTCAGGACATTCAGGAATCACCACACAACACAGCAGCAGCAGCTCTTTACAGCAGCAGAGAGAAAAGCATGACCTTGATTCCCAGCTGTTTGCTTGTAGCGTAGGTTATCTGTGAGATACATGAGCTAACTTCAGTGTGTGCCTTTTCTTTTTGTGTGAGAACAGGGGTTTGAATTCTGCTTGGTGTTGTAGCTGCGACAGTACCGATCTAAATATAGATAGGTCTGTAACCTGCCAATGGGTGCTACTTTATCTGCTCACCTCTTACTGTACCTGCGACTGCAAACCAAGGGAGCATTTTTTTACATCTGAAAACAATTTCTTTCAGTCGACATATCATATATTGATAGAACTGAAATTAGGGTGGGGCAATATATTTATATGATATTGATATTGTGATGTGACACTAGATATTGTCTTAGATTTTGGATATCATAATATTGTGTGTGTTGTCTTTTCCTGGTTTTAAAGGCTGCATTACAGTAAAGTGATGTCATTTTCTGAACATGCCAGACTGTTCTAGCTGTTCTATTATTTACTTTTACCCACACAGTCATTATAGCCACATTACTGATAACTGCTTATCAAAATCTCATTGTGTAAATATTTTGTAACAGTACCAATAGTCAACCTAACAACATCATTGCGATATAGATATCCAGATATTTGGTCAACAATATAGTGATCTTGATTTACCCCATATTCCCCGGTCCTATTTGAAATGTGAATGAGAAAAGTGATGCTTAGTGCTGCTTCTTAAGAGCAACTCCATTTATTTAGAATCAATATTGTCACTAGTGCTGGGCGATAGATGATATTGTGGTGATATTGTAAGGTTGATTATTGGTGCTTTCACGAAACATTTAGGCAATGAGATTTTTGATAAATAATCATAAGTAATGTGGATATAATAATAAGTGGTAGTGTTGTAGTACTTGAGATCAGTCTTGGTCTCAAGACCACTTTTTGAATGTCTCATCTTGGACTTGACTTCAGTCAGGAACACGTTAGTCAAAGAAAACTTCCATTGCCGTAATACATTTGGCGGTGTGGCTCTGTTCTGGGGCCTCTCTGCTTTTCCTCGGGCATACACAGAAAGCTTCTTCCACACGCTTACGTGGAAAGCCTAAGGCAGAGAGAGCAAACCTCCCTGCCCTTCCATGCACCTACATGGAAAGCCTAAGGCAGGGAGAGCAGCAGCAAAGACCCCCCAGGAACAGAACAGAGCAGCATCAATGACAAACAGAAATGACACTGATAACTCAGATACAGCATGAAAAGGAGGAGCTGGGGTGGAGGCAGGTTGCAAAGCAGCTTGCAGAAGAATCAGCAACAGTAGGCGGCCAGAGCAGTTTTAATAGGGTGCCCTGAATGAGATTTGCCAGTTGGTTGCATAGAAAGGAATCATGTGATCAATCAGCTGACTCCCTTCCATCAAACAGCTGCTCCATCAGTTGATTGGGCTGTTTGAGATCAGCTGATGTAGCCAGGATGTGAGTTGAGCTTGACATCGGGTCCTGCCTGAACTAACACTATGCTCAATTTTTTATCTGTTCTTGTGTCCATCTCAGACAAAGAGGACTCTGTTGTTTTTTTTTTCCAGACTGGTCAAGACCACAACTGTGGGGATATCACTAAATTGCTTGTGTGGAAAGGAGTGTTTCAGCTTCTTAGTATTTGTTTGTATTTGTTTGCTCACAGAAAACAAAGGAAAATCCCCACACATGAAATTCACCTCTATATTATCCAGACATTTCTCATGGTACTCCTGTACACACATATATATACTGTATATGGCAATAATAGAGGGGAATGAAGAGGAGATTTGATTTGTTTTCTGTGGGTGTCTTGTGTGAGTGTGGCTCTTTCAGATATTTTTTGGGAGTACCTATGGTGTGCATGTTCCACATTTTATCGTAAGTGTGTCATGCTGTGTGGGACTCACACTGGTCTGGTCTCGGTCTCAACTTGGTCTTGCCCAGGGTTGGAAATTTGCGCCAGCCACCAGCCACATGCTGGTAAAACATGCAAGTGGCTGCAAGATTTGCTTCACTCACCAGCCAAAAAGTAATAGTAATTTATTGACCTGCCCATAGATCTTGGAATCCACCGGCCTCAGTGGCAGGTGGACAAAAAAGTTCATTTCCAAACCTTGTCTCGACCCGTCAAAATGATGTTCTTGTCTCGGCCTTGATACATTCTGGTCTTGGTCATGAGTTGGTCTCGGTTTAGGCGGTCTTGACTACAACACTGCTAAGCGGGTAAAGGCGAATAATAGAGCAGCTCGAGCAGTCTAGTAAATTCAGAAAATTACGCCATTTTACCATAATGCAGCCTTAAAGGTCAAGTTTGAAGGATTTAGGGGGATATATTGGCAGAGATGGATTATAGTATAATAAGTATGTTTTCTGTAGTGTAGAATCACCTGAAAATAAGAATCATTGTGTTGTTGTTACCCTAGAGTGAGCCGCTTATATATATACATAGGGAGCGGGTCCTTGTTTAGATTGCCATGTTGTCTCAAGAGTATCCTAGAATGGACAAACCAAACTTTGGCTCTAGATTGGGCATTTGGCATTTCTGCATTTTTGCATTGGCCACCGTACTTACCGCAGCCCATCTGCAACAAACAGTGTCGGTAAAACATAGATTTTTAACGTGAAACTGCTTCATTCAGTGTTTTTACCAGTTTAAATCACCTGGTCTGTTTGTTTTGGAGAAGGAGAGACCTCTGCAGATAATTAGGCTCCCAGTGAAAATCGGAATGTTTAGATCAGAAATAAGATCAGAAATAAGGTGAGCAAACAATAGTAGATAGTTGGCGAGCCACCGGACTCCCACATGCTACACAGCGTTGGTGAATCACTGATTTATAACATGAAACTGCTTATTCAGTGTTTTTACCAGTTTTAATCTCCCGATCCACTGGTTTTGGAGAGGAAGGGACCTCTGATGATAATTCGGCTCCAGATATAAACCTCCTGAACAATTAACACTGAAGGAATTCTAACCAGGAGAAGTTTCAGGTGGTTGCAATTCAGCAATCCTCACAGCTACAGACCACTGAATCTCCTTAAATCGTACACACTGGACCTTTAGATCCAGGAAAACACGACACACCGATATCCAAAGTCTAAGATGCTTTCTAGTATCACATCACGCTATCGATATGATATCAATATATAGCCCAGCCCATGTGTTAGAGGTATGAAGAGTAGTGACACCACAGGATTCAGAGCTGCATCTGATCTGGCGCCAGACATAAGAACCTCCTGCAGGTTTTTTTGGTCCTCCCTCTTTTCCATGCCTCTGTCTCGCTTCCCTGCTGCTGCATTGTGGCACTCAGTCTCCTGTGAACTGAGAGACCTCAGGACAGGACTCCCTTCTCATGCTCTCCACACACTTTCACAGCCCTCTCACACACACACACACACACACACACACACACACACACACACATCGACACACTCACGGTGCCTTTACCCCTCCAAGCTCCGCAGTGCTACCTAAACACACACACACACACACACACACACACACACACACACACACACACTCGTACAAACACAGATACACTCTTATTCCTTTGGCCCACTCTCCTCGCCCTGCCTCATCTGTCACGCTATTAATAGCCCCTCACTCAGGAATCTCTCACAGACGTCGCTCATGCCTCGACTCTCCCCTCATAATGTTGCACTTCCTGCTCACATGCCGCTGAGCATCACTCAAAAATGTCACACTGCTGGTGTTACAAGACCATCACTTCTATCTTTTTTTCTGCTGCAATGCCACTGCATGTCCATGGAGAGGATGTTTTTATTTTATTTGCAAGGTTACTCAGGAAAAAAAGCGCCATTGTGGCAGAAATCGCAGCCTCTTGAAGTCAGCTGTCAGCTAACAGATTGAGTGTGTGAAATGGTTGAGGGATGCTGACTCAGATAGCAGGAACTGCCGGAAAGACCATTGTGTTCAAGGTGAATGCTGAGGCCTCGCAATCATGTCATCACATTAGGCTTCATTTGCAGCTTTCGGGCGACGTTACTTGTTTCTGTTCCTGTTATGCGTGCTGTTTCTCGACCACTGATGTAATTTTGGGAGATTTGAGGAAGAATCATGTTCTGTGCATGAACTTTGTGTAAAATGCAGTTTCAAAATGGTTGTTTTAGATCTCCTGTTTCTCTTTGATAACTGAAGGCCTCTTTGCAAAATTAGCATCTTGTTTTGACAGTATTAATGGAGTAAATGCGTCATCATCTTTCCTGAGGGCAGGCAACATTTAACATATCCGCTGCACTTTTCAGATGCCACGGGAGTGTTTGTGCAGGCTAATCCAGGCACAGTGGTGATGAGTGTTCTTGTTAAAACGCCAACCAAAGCACCACTCACGGCTAGTTGAAAGCCACAATATGTGAGTCAGAGAAAGCAAAGGCAGACAGACGCTCGTGTGTTTTTTAACTGTCAATGCATCACATCCATCCACCCTAACCAACTGCAATCTCTGTTTTGTTTTTTAACAGTGACTTGCTGTCTTCAGATTATGTTGAAATCCACTATGAGGCGGGCAAACCTGTTCTATCAAAGGTAATGTCTTCTCTTGCTGTGACTGAATTTTTACAGTACACATGATCTGTCTTGTTTTGGTGGAGTTCTGTTTTCATTTTGTACAGTCACGCACATTGTGAAGCTGGAGGCACAAGCTTTGTCTCAACTTTGGGAAATAGGCTTTGAGACAAAAACAGGAACAGATGTGAGTGTTGATTTCCTGTAAAATCAGTTTGCTTGTCATCTTTTATCACCAAACCTGCTAACTGGCAATTGAATTAAGACTGCAACCTTCATGTGTCATCCAGCAGTCACAGCCAGGAAATCTTCTTAAGAACAAAATGTACAAGAGGAGATGGATGGATAGATGGGTAGATAGATAGACAGATAGATGGATGATTTTGAGAGAACAGAAGGAAAGAGGGGATAGAAAGAGGGAGGAGAAAACAGGTTGGGAATGAGAGCTGGTTCCTGCTGCTGCTGCTGCTGCTGCTGCTGATTCAGGCAGTGGGCTGGGCTGGGCATACTGTCGCTGAATCAGCAGGGTTTTGCTCTCCTGCAGCCTCCTGCTGGAGCTCTGGTCACATGACGAGGGAGAGAAAGCCCTCTGCAGTATCAGTGCAGCGTGGGATGGGTGAAGTGGAAGAGAGAGGGAGAGAGAGAGGGAGAGAGGGGGGGGAAATGTCCTCTGCTCACCCTGGATCTGACAGCTGAGTCACAGATAGTGCCAGGGCCCACTTTGTTATAACTCCACATCTTAACAAGCAGAGACCCCCCGCAGAAAAGGCACTGCAAACTTACCAAACCGGCATCTGTGAGACAAGCTGTTACCTCCTCTGAGATGTTAGAATATTCATGATAATTAAGTAAAAAAATATGACACATTCACACTGTAATGGCGAATCTGAGCCATCATCTGTGGATGTGTGCTCCGCTCTGCCGGTAATGCTGCTTTAGTAATGCCTGGGGTTTGCTGTGATGCTGCATTAGCACTGTGTCTTCTTCCCTCAGGGCGGTGAGCACTGTTACTACCACGGCCAGGTGAGAGGGAACGATAACTCCCATGTGGCCTTATCTACCTGCAACGGGCTGCAGTAAGTGAACAGCGGAGTTGTGTGTAATCCTCGCCATGTTCAGAATATTTCTGGATACACTCGTCTCTGCTCCTCAGCTCCTATTGACTCAGTATTGACTGCTTTCTCTCTCTTTTCTACTCTCTCTGCCTGGCAGCGGGATGTTTGACGATGGAGTCTATGTGTATCTAATTGAGCCCTTACAACAGACTCATTCAATGGTAAGTTATTCCTGTTGCAGAGAGACAAAATATGTATCACACAAAGGTTTCACCTCCACCTGACACGCACAACATCCTCTGCTGTTAACTTCTCTTTAGATTTTCAGCTGAGGATATCCTTATCGCTCCAAGGACATTCCTGTTTTTAAAGGAAGGAGATGAGACAATGAAGCTGTGTCAGCAAAGTAATCAAGCTTATGTTCTGGTGTACTCAATTTGGACACTGTTTAAAGGGTTACTAGGTTTTAAACAAACATTCTTGTATGACTTAAACTTCTGTTTATACATATCATGTTAGTTCCAGTTTGTTAAGCTGCATTAGATAAGTGGTCATGTGAAAGGGATAAATACATATTTTTCCTCTTATGTGTAGTGCTATTTACCAGCCTAGACTGTTTTGGTGTGCTGCAAGGAAGGAAACACGCATCTACTCATGGACAAGAGGCTCATGCTCGTTTCAGTGCGAGATGTAAACATTAATGAGCTGTAGCAATTGCTAGCTCAGCGGTGCTAGGTGAGCTAGCAGTAGAGGCACGCTTCCTTCTGTGTTGTGATTCGATTGGTGGGTGTTGAGTTCTTCAAATATATTTTTTGGGCGCTTTGAGCACAACAAACCGAATGCCATCTAGTTCCATTATATTTGAGAGAAGGCAGAGATCTCTACAGCTGATATATCACTCGGCAGCTCACACCAAAGCAATAGCACCATATATAAATAAATAGCACCACAGGCAAGAAGAAAAATATGTATTTTGATTTTGGGGTGAACTGTCCCTTTAAGTCTTGTTTTATTGTGGCGGGGGTTTTGTTATTGGTATTATTAGTAGGGCTGGGCAATATTGTTGAAATCAATATCAGGATAATAATAATAAGAATATTCATGGTTTCAGAATGCGTCATGATATGAAACATTCACGTAAGACCACATCCCAGCCAACATTTGTATGTAAAAATGGGCCCTATATAGGATTGTCCGTGGGTTCCATATTGGGTGGGTTTACCCAAGTGGGCCCCACATGGGTAATGCTACGGCTACCCAGGCACCAAGTGGGTATGGGCCCAAAATGGCCATCTTATCTTGGGCCAACTTTAGTAAAATCTCATATGTGGGCAATTGGAATAGCGTCATTATGGAACCCATGGACAGTCCCATATAGGGCCCATTTTTCAGCTCATTTACTACCCACATGGGCCCCACATACACATGTTGGCTGGGATCTAACTGGAGCTTGTTGTTAGTTCAACTTTGTCACTGTCATTTATTTGTACAACATTATTTGATCATGTGATCACAATACTTTTCAGCTAACAGTCACTGAAGTACTAATTTGATATTTTGGGAAATAGGCCAGTACGTAGGGTTGGGCGATGTCTACCGAACTTTCACTTTATTCACTTTATTAATCCCCCTGAGGGGAAATTCAATGTTTTCACTCTTGCTTGTCAATTACACACAGGTCTGAAAGACACACACATGCACAAACAGGACCTATACATGCACAAAGTGGAGAGATCTCAGAGTGAGGGGGCTGCCCTTTGGTCAGGCGCCCCGAGCGGTTGGGGGGTTCGGTGCCTTGCTCAAGGGCACCTCGGCAGTGCCCAGGAGGTGAACTGGCACCTCTCCACCCACCGGTCCACGCTCCATATTTTGGTTTAAGTGAATAAAGTGAAAGTTCGGTAGACATCGCCCAACCCTACGTACTGGCCTATTTCCCAAAATATCAAATTAGTACATCAGTGACTGTTAGCTGAAAAGTATTGTGATCACATGATCAACAGGCTCGAACAGGCGACCCTCCGGTTCCCAACCCAAGTCCCTATGGACTGAGCTACTGCCGCCCATATGGTGATGTTCACAGTGACACATCCTGATGGACAATGACATTGCAAAAAGAGGCGGTAATCAACTGAACCAGACCCAACTCACAAACTGCCAACTTTATGCATTACAGTAGGGAGGACTGAGACAAGGACAGAGACGATTAGGAGTGAGTGCCACGGCACTTTCCAAGGTGTGTGTGTGTGTGTGTGTGTTTGAGTAATACCTTACTTGAAATGTGTCACTTTTCAATCCACCTGCTGCAACCTGTGATATTTAAATAACGTACTAGTGAATTAAGAAGAAATAAAAAACAATAGTCAGCTCAGCAGATGTGAGAGGATATTGATAAGTGATGGTGGCATATCTTCATGAATGAATGAATGCCAGTAGCGCCGCAATCCCGTGCCCCAGTTTGGTGTAGATTTTTAAATCACATGGTCATCAGCGAAGGACGATGGCATTGTCTATCAGCCCAACCCTACTTGTACAATGTCTTGCCGAAAGTTAGATAAGAATATTGATTAAACTTTCATGTCTGCAGGATAAATATGAAGCTACAACTAGCAGCAGTTAGCTTAGCTTAGCATAAAGACTGGAAGTGGGGGGAAACGGCTAGCCTGACTACCAGCACCTCTAAAGCTTGGAAACTGACAAATGAATTTGTTTGTTTAATCTGTCAAAAACAGTGTAAAAACATCAATTTGCCATTTTACAGGGTTGCTCTGTGCTGGCTATTTCTCAGCCGGGAGCAGTGACTTCTTGTCTTCACTGTGAGGTTGGCGGGAAGTCACTGTGCTTGGCCAAGAAAGAGTCTGGCCCATAACTTCCTGTAAAGTCACCACATGCCATTTTTACACTTTTTTATTTGTATATGGATTTTCTAAAGAAGATACAACTTCAGCTTCAGAGCTGCTGACAGGTGGATTTTGTTAATTTCAGACAGGCTAGCTGATTCCCCTGTTTCCAGTCTTTACGTTAAGCTAAGCTAACCTGCTTCTCGCTGTAGCTTTACATCCAGCAGCAGACAAACATGAATCTATTAACTCTTGTTTACCTCTGCAGGAAACAGCTGCAAGGCCTCACAAACTAAGACGAGCAGCCTCCCTTCAGTGGAACAGTGATTCAGAGGAACAGGGTAAGGGTTTCCATCTCTGTCATTCATCATCTTACATAACCTCCTCCATCACTCCTCCACCTCTGACCACTGACACACCTCTCTTGACCCTGACATTACCTCGCCCTTTTTTGTGTTCATGGCTGCACGTAGTAATTCCTGGAATTGTAAAAATAGTTTTAGTTGTTGTTACAGGTTAACATTTCATAATATGTAGTTTGGATTCATCCGAAAGTGAAAACACCCGAGGAGTTAACTGGAATGACTTTTACAGTGTGAGACACTGATGTTGTCAAACTTTATTTTCATATTCTCATAAAGCATGAGATGTTGTGTTGCTCCCACTAAAGTTTATTGTCTCTACTCTAGTCTAGCATGCTTATTGTAATTAAATTAAACAGACCACTTAATGGGGAATTCAGGGAAACTATTTTGGATTTTCTGGGAAAAAAACACAACCCTATGGGCTTGCCCTCACGGAAGAGGCAAACCCAGTTGTAAATATGTGTATTGAGGTGTCACTGTTTCCTTGTGTGTGTGTGTTCGTAGCTGAGGAGGAGGAGCAGCTCTTCTCAGAGCTCGATGACTTGTCCTGGCTGAGGCGCAGGAAAAAGCGAGCAGTAAGTCTCTGATCTCATGTCTCCGCTCAAGTAATGCAAGAAAAGTTCACCCACCCTTGAACTGTGACACACTGTATTTAATAACTTTGCAATGGTCAGAGTCGTTTGTTTTTATTTTGCAGATGCCTCGCAGTGTGTTTGAGGAGATGAAGTATTTGGAGATTATGATTGTCAGTGACCACAGTATGGTATGTTTGTAACTCAGTCATATTTCAGACCCACTCTGCTTTTTTCCCACAAGAGGGAGCAGTGCTTCTGAATGCAGCACATGAGTGAGCACCAAGAAATCACTGCAGCTTTTTTGTCTGTTCTTTCTACTTTGTGTCTGCAGTATAAACGACACAAGACCAAGCAGCACACAAAGAATTTTGCCAAGTCTGTGGTGAACTTTGTGGACGCTGTGAGTAAACTCTTAAGTTATTCTGTGCATATAGATCCACTTCAGAGCTGACATACATACAATAGCTGTTTTTTATTAGCTGCTCCAGCTGCATGGCTCTAGAAATGACAATGTGGTCGGTCCACTTTGAGCCAGACTTATATATCTCAACAATTATTGGATGGATACCTATGACATGTTATACAGACACTCATCCTCATCCTAATGACTTTGGGATCCTCTGATTTTTCATGTAGCGCCACCAACAGGTCACATTTTTCACTTGTCCACTAAAATATTCAACTATATGATAGACTGACAGAATTTTAAGAACACACATTAACTTAATCCAAACATTTCAGTTTAGTTTAGTTGCACATATACTGTATGGATAGAAAACACAGGAAAAAGAAATGTTAAGTTAAAACACTGTGCAGGAGAGGTTAGAAGCCAAAAATGGCTTATGAGGATACCTCGGCTGTTAATTAACAACAATCATACATAAAAAAGACAAAGATAAAAGTTAGGATGGCATAATTGAACAAGCGTTTAAGACTAAGAACTAATACACAATTGTTAAAGATGTACAATTTACAAAAAAAAACACAAACAAATTACAAATGATCAATGACGTGTTAGTCCTTTTCAGATGTTTTTTGAATGACGATAATGTCGATGATGATTGTAGAGATGGAAGAAGGTTGTTCCAAAAAGATGGTCCTCTGCATTTCTGGTGAATGACCCTCAATAACAACAACCTACTTGCTGTTGGCTGTATTGTGTGTCCAGTAAATATCACAATTTTTTTTTGTTTAAAAAGTACAAACGTAGAGAGATATAAAGTTGCTGCCCATCTTTTAAGTAGGTATGTCTCCGTCTACGTCGTTTTTTTTTAGATGATGTAACAGAAATGCATATTTAATGGCTTCAGTGTGGACAGAGAGGGTCACTCACTTGCTGTTAGGACACAGTGTTAGGATGAAATGAGGGCACACAAGTCCCATGAACAGATTCAAAAAAAGTGTTTGTAGTGGCTTTTGTTTCTGGCATGAAAATATAAGACCCAGACAAATGAACTCAGCAATATGGGTTTGGTGTATTCCAAAAGTAATCCAAAGTATTTACAGTAGGTTACTTATGTAATCCTCTTTTCTTAATTGTTGGTGTTCCCCCATTCTTCCAGGCCTGTGGGTAATAAGCCGGCTACAACATTTATTTCTTCCTCTTCATTTAATTTTTACCAACACGGCAAGACAATACTAACTCAGGGGTACAACAACTTCTCTTCACTGTTAAATACGAGGCCCACACTCTCTTTCTTGTGTATCACTCATACCTGTTCCCACAAAACAAGGGCAGGTAGGAACCGATTAGCTCATAACCAAGAGAACACAATGACTCCACTTAAACACCGCACATGAAAATACAAATGACAATGAAATAATAATTTACCAGTGATGCTGAATCTATTACCACTTATATAAATATGAATAATGTACCCATAAATACATGGCACAGTCACTTAAGTAATAAATATAACCCCAAAATATAATGTGTGCAGTAATTATGGTTACACTTAGTTTAAGTAATCTAATGCAAGACATTACAAAGTATATTTCAGGTCATGTATTTAGTAATTTCTCCGCCACTGTCCACATCCCTAAAATGATACAATCCGTTTAATTATACATTTGATAGTATAGAAAATACTATCAAATGTATAATTAAACGGATTGATAGTATTTTGTTGTTTAATGTTTAATTATACATTTGATAGTATAGAAAATACTGACGCTAAAAAAAAAAAATATCTACAATCAGATTTTCAGCACAAGTTGTAATTACGATTAATATTAATGCAAATATATTGGTAAATCTTAAGTGAATTTTTCTGTACCAGCACTGTGTGCAGGCTCTTAATAAACATCCTGGTATTTTGACAACATAACTTTCAATTATGTCCTTACAGTGTGCACCCACTGATATATTATTCAGTGTGGCACAGCTGCAGACGTCCTCATGTGTCGTGATGGAGTAAAGCTCTCCAACCCCGAGCCACCCCCCGTAGTTGTTGTATTGTATCGTACTCTGTGTTGTCGTGATGCGCATTAACGCTCCCCTGTTCCTCCTTTTCCCAGTGTGCTGCATCCCCTCATCATCTGTCCTCCTCAGACAGTGCAGATTCAAATTCACACCCAGTGTTCTTCTCCTCTCCCCGTGCTGTTGCTGCTGTCTCTCTCCTTTCTCTCTGCCTTTCTTTATTGCTCCCATTCACCGCACGCTTCAATGGCAGATCTTCAAAGAGCAGCTGCATACACGTGTGGTGCTCGTCGCTGTGGAGATCTGGACGGACAAGGATCAGATCCCCGTCAGCGTCAGGCCACTGGAGATGCTGCGGGATTTCTCCAAGTACCGGCAGCAGAGCATCAAGCACCACACAGACGCTGTGCACCTCTTCTCGTAAGTTTATTCATTTCAACAAGATCTGTCCATCACCCTTTGTGCAATTTTCTCTGTGGAGTCTCAGTGAAGATTGTTTTAAATTTCCAGCATTTCCTTTGATTTATTTTATGTGCCATTTTAAAATTTGTGTATGTAAACATATTATTGGATGGTTTTCATTGTATTTATTTTTCCCCGATGGAAGTGTATTTTGTTTGAATATAAAAATGCAAGCATAATGCATAATATGGTAGAGTCCTTGTCAAAGAAGGGGAGACCAGGGTTGGTTGGCACACTTTTTACTCTCTTACATATTTCTCTGGCATGATGTAGGTATGAATATTCTGGCTGGCAGCAAATGAAAGGTTAAGGCTATAAATCAGTCCCTCCAGGATTTTGCAGGCTGTTATCGTGGTTGTTGTGGCCCAAAATGTCTGATTTCATGGCAGCTTTTCAGCCTGGTTAGCACGAGCTAACACAGCACAACTTGATCTCATCACTGCTCGTCATATTTTAAGATTAGACACAGAGCTATTAATCTCACACCAACACAGAAACAGCTCGATTCTGTTGTTAAACCTGTTAATAACTGCTTGGGAATGTTAGCCATGTGATGCTAACAGTTAGCCCTGTCACTGTGTGTGTGCGCGACTTTGTCCCAGGCACAGAGGTCCGGTTCCACAGTGTCATCGTACAGAGAGAGAGAAGTAGGAGCTGAGCAAATATCCGCACTGCATTCAGCTCTACAATGAAAAGAGATTTTACGTGTTAATAGTCAAATTAGCATTAAAGTTGCGGTAATTCACAGGGACTGGCTGGATTTGCATAAATTGTTGTGATTACAATAAGGCGAAATCTTGGAGGGACTGATAAATAAACATGTTTTAATGTACACAAATGTTTTCTAAAAAATAGGTGATTTGTGCTACACAGCCCCATCACAGGGTTGGTTATCACAATGTTAAAATACAATATAGTTACAAAAAAATTAAGCAACCAGTAGAAACAGTTTGAACATTTAATTCAAACGAGAACCAGAAAGCATTAACATTTAATAAATATCTGCCCATTTTTAAAAGCAAACAGCATTTATAAGGAGCTCTTTAGAAGGAAGGTGTATTTGATTTTGCCATTTGCCATTCGAAATATTAATAATTAACAGTATAAACATTGTTTTTAATCTTTTTAAATAGTTACTATTTCTCATAATACAGCTATAGTTAGAACAACTCAGTGTGCCAACCAACCTTGTTCACATTTGAACCAACTTTGTGATGAAATTATGCCAGCCAGCTACAATCATTCATCACAGTCTTTCAAATCTCATATGAAAATGTAGCTGATTCTTTGGTCTATTAACCAGAAGTAACACTTTTAGAAAATCTCTATCTAACACAGTTTCATAGCAGGTTTAGTCTACTGACCACTTTTTGTATTTTTGATACTAGAAAAATAAAAGAAAAGTTAGTGACTTTCAAATGTTTTAATAAAGTAGATAAGTGCAGGTCAAGAAAGCAAACATTTTGATGTTACATTTTCTGTGACCTTCAAAAGACCAGAAAAACACTGTGCCAAACCAAACACTATAGCCAACTGACCCCAGTCTTTCCTACTATTTTATTATTTAGTTGTATGTTTCTTGTACTCTGTAACGTATTATCAAGGCCTGGAGTTGATACAAATATGAACCTGAATTTGCAACCACTTCTGAGACTTAACATGCGTGGGCTGGAAGCAGTACAGACAGCTGCTGCATAAAATAACCAACCAAGATCTCAGTTTGACATCACTTTTATGCCGCCAGATTCATACTTTGACCTTGTTCTGATAATATTTTCTCAGTATGTCTACGTAAGAAAAACGGCACTCTGTCTTCAGGAGTGGATTTTTACAGAAAGTATTAGCTCACTTTTTGACTTGTCTTACCCTGTGTGATGTTTTTATCTTTCATCTGTTGTTCATCGTGTCTGCCTCTTTATCATCCATCATTCTTGTAGAAATGTGACCTTCCACTACCGCAGAAGCAGCGCAGCATACTTTGGAGGCATGTGTTCCGTCAGCCGAGGAGTCGGGGTCAATGAGGTCAGATTTGCTGTCCAACACTGCTCGTCACTCTTTGTCACTGAGACTGACTGCAAGTAAATAATCCCCGCTCTCTGCTGTGTCCACAGTATGGCACCACCTGGTCCATGGCAGGGTCTCTGTCCCAGAGCCTGGCTCAGAACCTGGGCATCCAGTGGGACCCAGCATCCAGGAGAAGTATACATGAAACACACGTTGCTTCCTCTCAGCTAGTATAAGTATACTTAAGGAGGGCAGTCTATTAGGGCAGTCAAAAATATAGCTCAGTCAGGAACACTTTAATCAAAGAAAACTTTATTTCCATTTGCAGTATTATATTTGGCGATAAGGCTCTGTTCTGGTGCCTCTCTGCCTTTCCTCAGGCCTACGCAGAACGTCTCTTCCACACACCTAGATAGAAAGCCTAAGTCAGAGAGAGCACACCTCTCTGCCCTTCCATATGCAAATGAGTAAGACCTCAGGCAGGGAGAGCAAACCTTCCTGCCCTTCCATGTGCCTACACAGAAAGCGTAAGGTAGGGAGAGCAGCAGCAAAGACCCCCAGGGGACAGAACAGAGCAGCATCAATGACAAACAGAAATGACACTGAAAAGTCAGACACAGCATGAAAATGAGGAGCTGGGGTGGAGGCGGGTTACAAAGCAGCTTGCAGTTAAAATTGTGTCCTGCCTGAATTAACACTATGCTCAATTGAGGCAAAACACCAGATCGCGAATTTGCCATTCGTGCTCAGCGAACACGAATGGCTTTCAATTTAGCTAGAAATACTTTTTCAGGGTGGCTGTGGGTCCTTAAAATAATTAAAATGTCTTAAATACACATTTACTAAAAAAAAAAAAAAACGCCTTTAATGTTTGGTAAATAGCTCTCAATAATAATGTCCACACAGAAGAACTGTTAGCTCGATACCTGTAAGCTTGATAACATGTATTTGTTGTTGTGTCCTTTAAGAACTCTGATGTTCTGCATCTAAGACAGTACATTTTTTCCAGTAATCTACATATGAAAAAGTGGGGTTGTCTCAGATTTGATGTTTAGACACTTAAATGTCTTTATCATTTAATGCAGCAGATGGCGCCTTTAAAGCAAAAAGATGTCTTTTGACTGGACCAGACTGTCTCTCGTCAGCTCTCGTCTGTGAAGTCCAGAAGTGACAGATGGAGAGATGAACTGATTGTCTTGGAAAAAAAAGTGATCAGGCTCGAGAAGGATGATTTGTGTCATTAGTTCTGAGATCACAGTGCTTAATGAGGCAAAATCAGAGTCCAACAGCTGCCATGTTTGAAGCTCAGCCATTTCACAGATTCTTTTGATGGCCCCAAAACTGGACAAGCTTGATAGAAGACTGTGACTATGTCAGTGGAAAATAAAATGATTCAGGTGGAAGATTTGGACGTCGGCGTAAATGTACCAATTAATGCTAATTCTCTTTCAGATGATAAAGTAGAAATATCATGTTCACATTTAATATTTGTCTTGAAAACCTTGTAAGTGTGTCTGCAGCCTCTTTCACACATAGTTCCGTGGTATAATACTGAGATAACCTTTTAGGTTTTAGTGATTTTCAGTCCGACAGCTATCTATGGATGCTAACATCATGAAACTCAACTGAAAAGCAAGACAGTAGGACAAGGCTGGGTGTACGCGGGGGAATACGTCTCTCATTATTTTTAGGAACATGTTCAGCGAGGAGCTGATTTTGTCCAAAGCCAGTGTTCTTGTATTGTATTAAATATTTAACGAGTTTGCAAGCAGCATCGGTGTTCAGGCTACACTGTAAACAAATCGCAGATTTCAATACGTGATCAGCGGAGTCTTGTGATTTGTTCATTTACTCCACAGTAAAGCGTCCTTCATCAGAGGGACTTAACCCTTTACAGGCTCAACCCTGCAGTGTTACTACTTTTATTCACAACACAGCCTAAGTAGCATCATCCCTAAAATGTTACTGGGTCTTTAAATGGGAAATTGGCAATATAGATTTCCCTGAATATTGACCCCTGCTCCCTTTTACACATAACCAAATTCAGGAAATGTTCCTGAACATGTCAGGGATAGACTGCATGTGTGAAAGAGGTTTATCTATTTCCATTTCATCTCCCTCACTGTCTGTTTTATTCTGTTCTCTCTTTCCTGTTTGCAGAGGAATGTGGTTGTGTTGACTCATGGACTGGCTGCATAATGGAGGACACTGGGTAATGTCCAATATATTTCTAAGACACACACACACACACAGATGAGAGGGATAATGGGACAATTACAGATGCTTGTTTGTGGTCACCCAGTAATGTAATTACCGCCCTGGGAGTGTGGGAATGAATGCAGAGCTGGGAGATAAGTGTTCTGTTTTGACCTTAATGATAATTCGAAATCTCTGTCCAGTGTCGACCCTTTTGTTTTGCAGTGTTAGTCATTTTTTATTCAGACATTCAGTCAGTGAAAGAATATATTACTCAGTGAGCCCATTTACATCTAATCAATACAGACTGCATGTTAATGCCAAGTATAAATGGTGTCAGTATGCTTTAATCAACTACAACACTAAGCCGTTTTGTAAAATAAATGAATCAAGATGTTAATTTGACACAATTTTAATGTAGACTGATCTGTGCTTTGACCTTATTCTCATAGTATTCTGACAGTATTCTCACAGAGTATCTGAGAAGAGTTTAAAGAGTCTTTGAAAGCATTGAACCTGGTTCTCATAGAATGTATAAAAAAGACTTAATTTACAAAGGTCCTGAATATGTTCTCTCTCCTGTCACAGGCATTAATATTAATTCTAAGATGTTTTGGTATCTGATTAGGGGCTCTCAGGAGACGTTATATACTTCCATGCATGAATTATTACGACCCTCAGTCAAGATTCTTTTTCTTAAGTGTTTTTATTCCTCTTTAGGCATGAAGAAAATACGAAGTTTGTTTTTTTAAACATGCATTTTTCAAGGAAGTATTCACATATCCACTTAGGTGGACAGCAGTTTTAAACTAAAAAAAATGTATAAACCAATTAAAAAATTGATTATATCTCATGTGACATTACAAGAATATATTTTAAAGCTGTTACACTGGAGTGTTCACATTTTTTTCTAACAAATTCTAATACTGTTCAATGCCATGCAAAAGCATTGACCTTTGCTCCTTCCTCCTCCTGTTGAACTATATCATTTTTCCAATGAACATTTTCTGCAAAAATAACAAATTGTTTATTGTTTCTGTAACAATAACTGTACATTACCTTCTTATAACAAAAATATTTGATTTACAGACACTGCAGATTAAGTATTTTGAAGAACAACAAAGTTGTAGTAATACTATTAATTGCAGTTGAGATGTAGCCAGCGATGCATGATGCCCAGTTTAGTGGACAGATGATTAATTGCAATTTCCTCACAGCATATAATCGATATTTGGGAAATTTAACAACTGTAGTACTCCTTAGATGTTATTTGATTTTTACAGATTCTATTTACCTGTCAGAGTCTCTTATTATAGAAGGATTGGCATGATATTCTTGAGGGCCACAACATTTTTTGCATTCTGTCGGCCATCTTGATTTTGAGAGATTTGTGTTGCACTGATAACACCTGGCCAGTGGGTGGCAGTGTATGGCATGACGCACCACTGTAGTGACTTAATGCAACTATACCACCAAAACCCATGCATATACAAGAAATGGCTTCGAAATAGCTGTCCACCGTAATGACCACTATTCGTGAAAGGGTTGAGTAAAAGTGGGAATGTTTTGACAGTGGATTGTGCATCAATCCTCCTTTTGTGACGTTCACAAAGACCGTTAGCAAACACTTGTCCCTGTAGTTAGCTACAGCAGGAAGCTCTTCATTCATAACGGGAAAGTTTTTTAGGAAAAACTTCTTGTCCAAATAATTATAATATTTGTAATTATTGTTATTTATTGCTGGAAAGTAATGAAAAAAAATGTGATATGATGATAGATAGTTCGAGTCCATTTAGTCCCCACTGGTTTTCAATCATACTTTCATACTTTTGACAGTAAGATTGTAAAAAAAAAAAAAATTCTGTGTGGTATAAAAAGTTTTTAAAACTTCTTCACTACAGTTTTAGGCAGTCAGTAATAAATAGCTTAATATAGTAAGCAGTGTGTGCGTGCAGAAGTCCGAATGTGTTGCCTATGGTTGCTAAAAAAACACTCATTAGAAAGCAGATCTTCACACACGGTATCCGACACAATTTTGAACCATGTTTCCATCCTCTGTCGGCACTTACAGTTAATTATCACCTGGTATTCTCTCTCTTCAGGGTCCAACACCCACGGAGATTCTCCAAATGCAGCATCTCAGACTACAAGGACTTCCTTCAGAAAGGTGGAGGCTCGTGTCTGTTTAACAGGCCAACCAAGGTTAGACAATCACACCTCTGCCCCCGCCCCCCAGCTGTCATGAATCACACTGTGTGCTCCACCTTTTACACTCTCCTGTCTCCCTCTGTTAGCTGTTCGAGGCAACAGAATGTGGTAATGGATTTGTGGAAGTGGGAGAGGAGTGCGACTGCGGAGCGAGAGCGGTGAGTCTCTCTCACTTGAGAATGTCAGGTCTGTTTGCTGTGGTCTGTGTGCTCGGATGCATGAAGCTCTTTGCCCCTGTTTATTTTCAGGAGTGCTACAAAGAGTGCTGCAAGAAGTGTTCCCTCGCTAACGGGGCGCACTGCAGTGATGGCCCGTGCTGCAATACCACATGTCTGGTATGGGTTTGGTCTTTTCTTAAAGAGGACTTGTGCACAGGTTTCAGGTTCATATTTGTATTTAAGGTTTATACGAGGACATATTTACATGCTTTTATTGTAAATAAATAAATAAATAAATAAATGCATGTTTTACTATCTGTGCTGAAGCACCTGTATTAACTCTGTGTTTGAAACACAGCCCCCTCCCGAAAAGCCATGTCTGCTCTGATTGATCAGCATATCCGGGTCTTTGAATGTCAGTGTCTCTGCATTGTCATAGCAGCTGGGGAATGGCTATAACAGAGAATAGCAAACTCTTTGAAGAATCACTGATAAAAGCCAAAGTTTCCTTGACGTTAGCATGTAGCTACTTGTACGTTAACAGTGTACTTGCAATCAGGAAAGGACTGCACTTACTAATGTGAAAAATCACAAAAAAAAGCTTCTAGACATGGAATGGTGACGAAAATATGGACTGAAACTGGGGGAAATTAACAACATTGGTAAACTAGATTGCATGTTTCTAAAATGACTTTTCAAAATGACTAAAATGAACAATGACAGCAATATAGTCCACGATGACCAGCGCTAAAATCAACCTGAGTAGTTGTCCCTCCATTGTGACATTAGACAGTGTTGCATTTATCTTGCATGTGTACTCTTCTTCAACGTTTTGTTTACTTCCTGGATTTGTCCCACATGGAAATTCTGACCAATCAAGAGCAGCTTTCTTGCCCAAGGCATTTGATCTGGTCCGCTTGTAGATGCTGCCATGAGAACACGAACCAACTCTAGGCAATTATGCAACTTTGTAACAAAACTAGTCCCTGATTTGGACCAAAGCAAGACGACTCTAGGTCTGACAGCACCATAAGATATATGACTTTTATCTCCTCTCTCCTTTTCCTACTAGTTTTATCCTCGAGGTTACAGTTGCCGCTATGCTGTGAACGACTGTGATATCTCAGAGACGTGCTCTGGGGACTCTGGACAGGTGTTGTTGTGTTGCACTGTTACAGTCTAGTTTTAAACTGTTCATTCTTCGCATGTTTAAGATAATGTGCATGGTTAAGAGGAAGTCTTATGTTTGTGGCTGTTTGCAGTGCCCTCCCAATCTTCACAAACAAGATGGTTACCTCTGCCAGTTAAACCAGGTACGCACACTGGTGAAATTAGAAAAAAGGAGCAGTTGTGCATCAGAATAGAAGTTTGGGAGCAGCTGACTGAGAATTTATTTACTGTTTTATTCTCTCTCTGTCTGAAGGGCCGCTGCTACAATGGAGATTGCAAGACCAGGGAAAACCAGTGTAAATACATCTGGGGGTCAAGTAAGATTAATATTCTTTGGCTCACATTAGCGGAGTGTCAGAGTGTCATCATGCAGAGATACTGAATGAGAAGAGTCTTCTGTAGTCGGTGCTGTGCAGTTCACCCCTCCTCTCTCTCCCTCAGAGGCTGGAGGCTCGGAGAAGTTCTGCTATGAGAAGCTGAACACAGAGGGCACAGAGAAGGGCAACTGTGGGAAGGATGGAGACAGATGGATCCAGTGTAGCAAACAGTGAGTTTCAATAGAAGACAAATTAAATTGACTACGGTATTTCCTCTTTACATGTTTGCATGACAGTGCTTTCTATTTCTACTTGGAAGCAGGGCTTTGGTTGTTCCTTGTTTTCTTTTTGTACTGATAAATAAGGAGATAAATGCTGTATTAAAGCCAACCAATAGAGGGCAACAGAGGGCACGTTTTTGTTTTTTTGTTTGTTTGTTTTTTCATGCCTCTGCTCCGGTGATAGCTATGGTCGGAGGCATTGTGTTTTCAGGTTGTGCATCCGTACGTCCCATTCGTGTGAACACGATATCTCAAGAACACCTTTAGAAAAATACCTCAGGTTTGGCAAATACATTCCCTTGGACTCAACAACAAACTGATTTGATTTTGGTGACCAAAGGTCAAGGTCACTGTGACCTGGTCTGTCTCAATGTCGTGAGTGCATTATCTCAAGAAGGCCTCGAGGGAATTTAATCAAATTCGGCACAAACATTCACTTGGACTCATGGATGAATTGATTAGATTTTTGAGGTCAAGATCAAGGCCTTGAGTCTGTCTCATTATGCGTATGCAATATTTCTAGAAAGCCTTAAGAGAAATTCCTCAAATTTGGCACAAACACCAACTTGGGCTCAGTTATTAACCAATCAGATTTTGGTGGTCATAGGTCAAAGGTGAAAGTTACTGTGACCTGGTCCACCAATCTCGTGAATGCAGGTAATGAGGGAATTCCCTCAAATTTGGAACAATGTTCGTCTGGACTCAACAATGAACTGATTAGATTTTGGTGGTCAAAGGCCAAGGTCACTGTTACCATGCATTCATCTCATTCTCATAAGGGCAATATATCAGTTCCTCAAATTTGACATAAACGTCCACTAGGACTCACAGATGAACTAATTAGATTTTGGTGGTCATGGGTCAAAGGTCAAGGTCAAGGTCACAGAGCTTCTGCTTCTTCACATCGAAAGAGATCAGTTGAGGTGGTTCGGGCATCTGATCAGGATGCCTCCTGGATGCCACCCGTTAGAGGTGTTTCAAGCACATCCCACTGGTATTAGGCCCTGGGGCAGACCCAGAACACACTGGAGGGATTACATATCCCAAAGCATATCCCAAGGCGTTCCCAGGCCAGACGGGACAGCCAGTTGCTGGGGAGAGGGACGTCTAGGGTGCTTTGCTTGGCCTGTTGCCCCTGTGACCCGGCCCCCAATGACCAGATGAAAATGGATGGATAGATGCAGATACAGACTAAATGAAAACAATCATCTAATCTTTTAATGAAAGAGGACTCAGAAGCAGTTGCTAAAAGATGGGTGTTAAGACAGGATTTAAAAGTAATGATAGACGAATGAAGAAGACAAAATGAATATAACAGTTGGCATCTGTACAGACTTCCTTCTCTCTCTCTGTTGTGTTTTTCAGTGATGTGTTCTGTGGTTACCTTTTGTGCTCCAACATCGGCCGCAGCCCACGCATCGGCATTATGAAAGGAGATATCACACCAGCCTCCTTCAACCATCAAGGCAGACTGGTAGACTGCAGGTAAACACATGTGTACAATATACTAAGACCTGTTTATGTCCTCGAAATGTATAGAATTGCTATCGTCAGTGGTCCACTTCTTGTCACTTTTGGTTTAATCATCCCTGTATGAGTTTTTGCCTCCACCCCCTCTCCTGACCTCTCCGCTGTCCTTATCTCTCTCCCCCTTTCCTTCCCTTCAATTTCTCCTCACAGTGGTGGCCATGTCCTTTTGGATGATGAGACTGATTTAGGCTACGTGGAGGATGGGACTCCCTGTGGGCCGTCAATGATGTGCCTTGACCGCAAGTGTCTGCCCATCCAGTCACTCAACATGAGCACCTGCCCCAGTGGACCTAACGGACAGGTGTGCTCTGCCCATGGGGTGAGTCCCGGTGTAAACTAACCCACAATTTACGCTTTGTTCGTTGTGGTCTTTGCGTCCTCGGACTCAGACTGGCCAATCATAACGTAGCATCAGGCTGGCTCAGACCAGGGTCCGACAACAACACAGCTGTGCTCCATTGACTCTAATGCAGTCGTTTCAGATTTCCTTCATTTTCAGGCTGATTTTGTGGATTTGGTGCTAAATGTTGTGCCTGGAGCACATCGTGTATGAATGATACTCGTTACCTGGAGATGTTGAAAAGAGATCTACATTTCTTCCTTGTTCCAAAACCAAAATCAAACCCTGAAAAGTGTAGGGTTAGCTAGCTATATCTTTAACCATGGATAAACAATGATTCCCAAAAAGTGTCCCGGTGTTTCAGCACCTTTTATTTACAGCTCTTATGTTCCCCTCGTTACCTCCTCTATTTCTGTCTCGTCTGTACAGGTGTGCAACAATGAAGCCACATGCACCTGCGACACTACCTGGGCGGGGACAGACTGTAGCATGCCTGACCCGCCTAAAGAGCCTGAGACCATTCCGGACGAAGGACCCAAGGGTCGGTTTCCACCTCTTTCAACCTCTGGCATCTGATAGAACGAATGACACACACGTTTATGTGCACTGATTTATTTTAGCCAGGATTCACGCTGACTTTTGTACTGTATATGTTGTTCTGCAATTTCTGCAATGTCATTCTCAGTCACACTGTTAGATCTGAGTCAGCACACAGTTTCACAGGTGTACTGGGGTCGTAAAGACTTTTCATGTAAGATGGCGACTGGAGGAGAATATAAAAAGCAGTGTCACATTTGTTAATCTTCAGACGATGAAATGATATCTGATACTTTGTCCACAGGGGGCGGGTGGACACGGGAGGTGGTTAAAGGGGGTGGGAAGCGTCACAGAGGGAACCGTGTCACTTCATCCATGACTCTGAAGCAGAAGCCTGCTGTTTGTTTTTAACAGGGTGGTAATAATGCTCCTTTTCCCTCTGCACAGTGAGCGTGGCCACTAACAGGCTGATAGGGGCAGTAGCAGGGACCATTCTGGCCCTGGGGGTGATTTTTGGAGGCACAGGGTGGGGAATAGAGTAAGCATCTTTAACCCTTTCACAGCTCTTCCTCTCATAGTGGTGCCTCAGTGTGCGGGCGGTCTCGTGAGCCGGCCTGAGCCCGTGTGTGCGTCCCGGTGGCTTTGTGTTTTCTTGTGTGTTGGTGATGACCATATAATTGTCATGTGATTGGATGTTTTCTGTGTTGTGTGATTGATTGATGGATTCCCCCTCCTCCTCCTCTTCCTCCTCCTCCTCCTCCTCTCCTGCCACTTCCCGTTGTTCCCCATTATTACAAGCCTCTTTCTTCATCCTCCCTCTTCTTCCTCCTTTTCTTCCTCTTATTCTTAGTCGTTATGTGGTTGCTCCTGTGATCCTCTCCTTTCTGGGGCATGTGGGGCATTTAGATGGAAAACAGTCCTGAGAAGTGTCCAGTTAGTGACCTGGCTTGTCAGTCAGTGGTAGGCTGTGTAGTGACTGGGACCCCTTAAAAAAAACTTTTTTCTACTGCTCATACTGCAGGCCACATATACACATCACCTGTCAATCTCTGTTTAATTAAACCTTTATAGTGATGGATACCCAGGGTCGAGTCTTCTGCACAACCTTAACAGACAAACCACTGATAATCTCTACCTCTACTGACACCAGATAAATGTAAAAAAAAAAATCCCAGGGCCTCATTATTGTCATGTTACACACTAAAGGGGGCATGCAAAATACATTCTCAGATTCAAGTCATTTTACTGTTATAGTATACTTATGGTTATGTTTTCTGTTCCATGTGAAATCGTCATTGTATAGTTACATGTTATTTATACAGTAAGTGAGTATAGAAACTCATGTCTTTTTCCCCATAACCCTTTACAGGTCCTAGTGCCACCAATCTAATAATAGGCTCCATCGCCGGAGCCATCCTTGTGGCTGCCATAGTGCTGGGGGGGACTGGATGGGGCTTTAAGTAAGCAACACGCCGCATGCCTCTCCTGCTGTAACTCTAGCATCCCTGCTGCTTCTAGACACCAGGGTTTGAGCTCCTGCTACAGAGTATGGACCCCGGGGTGGACGATACACAAACACATGCATATCTGAACTGCTCTGCGTCATCCTGGTTGTTTTGTAGTTGGTTGGTTGGTGATTTTGACAAGGGGGTCGCCTCGATCTGTAGCAGAACCTCAAACTGATTGGACGGGCAGAGCTCAATGCTTGACATGCATGTTCAGTCCTGATAACAGAGGGTAAAGTATGCTTTTAATAGCTAGACATTTTTTTAAAAAAAAAGCTTGTGTATGGTTGTATTGATAAGTTAAAGTCTTATTTGCTCTCTAAAATCCAAAGATAGACCTCTAACATATCTCTGTGTAGTCAGGAAATGTACTTTATTGTACTGTAAATTAATAACAATCTACCGCTGATTAGCCTGCTGTCTTGAGCAACAGGGGTGTTACACATCTTAGTCTAAATAGGCTTAAGAAATAACTGAGAAATACAATCCTGCAGCCACCAAAGCATGCCGGGTAGCAAAGCATCATGGTTGTCACCAAAACAAAGACAGAAAAAAAAAAAACAGGATAAGACACATTTCTGCATGTTGACCTTTTTGATTTGGAGGAGGTCAGTTCATTGCACAAAGGCTGAGCCAAACCCAGAGTGATTTGGTCCAGGGTTGTCGTGCTCTCATCGCCTCCGTGATCTTTTTCTCAGTCCGTTACTGTTTGAGGGCGAGACTTTAAGTGGAGCGGTGAGACAGCGACACAGAGAGAGAGACACAGACAGAGGCCAGGACCCTTTTTGTTGGCCGCAGCCTTTGTGCCATGGCTGACCACACCCACCTAAGACGGCCAGGCTCCGCCCTAGAGCAGAGCAGGACTCTCGGACCCCGCCCACACCAGCTGCCATTGCTGCCTGCTTCACAGACCTGGTACAGACACGGCGCATTGCACTGCATGAACCACGCACAACAATAGTGCCACCTTCAACTGGCCTACTATTGGAACAGGTGCATGACAGAGTGATAGAAGCCCCACAACAAGCCACAGTACGGGGAGGTTATGCATAACTCCTGTTGTTGTTCTCGTTGTTGTCCCACTGTTGTGGTAGTAGTTATTGTTGCTGCCGCTGCCGCTGCCGCTGCTGCTGCTGCTGCTGTGGTTGTTGTTTATGTGGTTGTCTCCTCTTTCCCTCCTCTATAGACTATATTTTATGTTAGCTCTTTCCTCCCAGATGGTTATGTTTTGAGTGGAACTAATGTCTTTCCCATCAATACTGGTAATGAGACATGTCTCCTACACTTCCTCACCTTGTAAACTGATGTTGCACGCACAAACCGGTCAGTCTGCAAGAGGGCAACAGAGGACATTTATATTCATGGACCATCAACATTCAGTTATTAGCTCATTTGAAAGTAGACTTTATTGGTTTTTTGCTCAAAAAACTGGGTGAAAGTTTAATTTAGGTCACTTCTATCTGATGCACAGTGTCACAAATCGCAACACAAAAGAAAACTTGAAGGGACCGTTCAGCCCAAAATTAAAAATAACATTTTCCTTTTACCTGTAGAGATATTCATCAGTCTAGATTGCGTTAGTGGCCTTGTAAGTTGCCGAATGTTGAAGATATCGGCTGTAGAGATGTTTGCCCTGTCTTGGACATAATAGAACTGGATGGTACTTCCAATCCAGTCCCAATCCAATCCAGCTTTATTTCTTAATATAAGCACCTTAAAAACAGCCACAGCTGAAACAAAGTGCTGTACATCAAGAGTAAATAAAATATGAAAACATAGGACATAAAAACAAACAGTAACACAATGAATCAAAAATAATAAAATACAAGGAATAAGGAGAAAAAGTGGGTTTTAAGGCGAGTTTTAAAAATGGACAGAGAAGGAGCCTGTCTAACGTGGAGCGGCAGACTGTTCCACAAGTTAGGAGCTACAACAGAAAAGGCTCTGTCCCCTCTGAGCTTCCTCTTAGACTTCGGTACCACCAGGAGCAGCTGGTCAGCTGATCTGAGAGACCGGGAAGGAGTGTAAGGGTGAAGCAGCTCAGAGAGGTAAGGTGGGGCAACACCATTCAAAGATTTAAAAACAAATAAAATAATTTTAAAATTAACTCTAAAATGCACAGGCAGCCAGTGGAGTGAGGCCAGAATGGATGTTATGTGCTCTCTTTTTCCTGCCCCAGTTAAAAGTCATGCAGCGGCATTTTGAACCAGCTGCAGATGAGAGAGAGAAGAGTGGCTGATTCCAGTGTAAAGTGCATTACAGTAGTCCAGCCGAGGCAAAATAAAGGCATGGACTACTGTTTCGAATTGCTGCCTGGCAAGAATGGGTTTGACTTTTGCCAACTGCCTTAAATGATAAAAGCTGGACTTCACGACTGCACAAATTTGACTATCCAGTTTAAAATTACTGTCCATCCTAAAACCCAGATTCATAACTGTGGGCTTCACATATGGTGTCAAAGGGCTCAAGTCAGTAGGGGGGGGACTCACAGGATCCACTGGGTCCAAACACCACCACCACTTGTCTTCTCTTCATTAAAATTTAAAAAGTTTAAGGCCATCCAAGCTTTCATGTCATTAAGACATGCGAGAAGTGGTTTTACTGAGAATGCATCCTCCCGCTTTAAAGGTACATAGATCTGACTGTCATCAGCATAAAAATGGAAACAGTTGCCATGTTTTCTAAGAATGGATCCCAGAGGAAGTAAATAAAAAGAAAAAGGCAGGGGCCCTAAAATTGAGCCCTGTGGAACCCCATATGACAGGGGAGCAGAGGAGGATTCAAATCCACCGAGGCTTACACACATGGTTTTATCAGCCAGATAAGACCTTAGCCATTCTAGAGCAGTACCATAAATCCCCACTTCCACAGCGTGGGATGTATAAAATGATTATCACGAACATCGAGTATAAACTGTCATTTTTTTAAGCCACAGGCATGAGACTTGGTTTGGTGTTTTGGTTTTCTAGCTCTCTCCTATGGCTCTCTCCCATACTAATTCTTTGGCTTTCTCGCGAGTGAACCCTCAAATGTCCAGTCCTGTGTTTTGAGTCTCTTCGTTCTACAACACTAGCACGCTTCCTTATACGCTGTGATTCGGTTGCTAGGTGTAGTTTAGTAAAAAGAAAGTTGTTCCTACGTAGAACTGCCCACAACAATGTCTGTGGATTATCTTGAGTGACCGGGTCATGATTTGCTATCTAGTTCCATTATATTGGAGAGAAGGCAGACATCTCTATGGCCGATATCTCCAACTTTGCAACTCACAACAAAACTATCTAGATTGAGACATAGCACTACACGTAAGAGGGAAAATATGTATTTTTGATTTGTAAGTGAACTGTCCTTTTAAGTGGAATTGATTTTTCCTTAGTATGGTCACCATACTGTCCATCAACATGAACTTAGATGTAAAGGTTTGTGAATATAAACACCTCACACTGCCTCTTTGCAGTCAACACCAAACTGGTTAAACATGGACCAGCCTTTCCTCACTTCAATGTCTTCAGCATCCATAACCATAGAGATCCTTTTTATATGCCACCTTTGAATACAACAATGGTTAAGGAATTGTTTAAGGCATATTTATGAGTCTGCTATTGTCAGCTGAAGAGATGAGTGTGGTTGCTTGTCCAGGTTGAACTAGCTGTGTTATAGATGTGATTACAGCACACACTGACTCCTGTTTCTTGTCTCCATGCAAGAAATGTGAAGAAACGGCGATACGACCCCAATGCCACAGCCATTTAACCCAAGGAGAGATGGCAATCGCAGACGGACTACTCCAAGGCTTTCTTAGTTGGCTACCTGACAGCTGGACTGCACTTATTGCTGCTGATCTTTGGCATTAGATTTACTTGAAAAAGACATAGTGGACATTTTAACAAATTCCATCGTAGTGACGTTAGAAATGCAGCCTTTTCAACTCCACCTCACCCATGTAACAAACCCCCCACACCCTGATCTCTAGAGTGACAGAGCTCCTCTTCCATCCTTTAGTGCCAGTGCACAGGCGTTCAGGCGGAATCCACACCACTCTCTCACCTGGCATGATTATCCGCACAAAAGCGTGCTGCTTGCTGGCCCCCTGGCATGAAGAGCCCTCCCTGCAGGGCTCTGCATGGCTATGAAAGCTACAAATATACCGCAAAAAAAAAAAACATACAAAGAGAAAAAAAAATTATCTTATGCAGGAGACAACCTCGTTAAAAACCAAACCCAGTGGAGAGCCGGTTGAAGTTCCTATAGTTCACGGTTTAGGTGCTGTAGATGATAAAGGAGGCTGCATGTGAGGACCTGTAAGGGCAGTGCAGACCACATAGTGAATGCACACACACAAAATTGTACATAAATAAGGAGTTCAGGTTTGGAATTAACAGCATATTTTACAAGGACATCAATTGCTTTCGTTTTTTATCTCAGCATGTTGTATAGCGGGTGTTTTTGGCAATGTTATTGATAAAAAAGAAACTGGGCCAAAACTGTAATTGCACGCTGCATTCCTGCGATTGGCTGTCAAAGGTTAGATTCAGAGGACAGAGCAGCCGTGGTGGTCGAGGAGAAGCATGTCAGTTCTAGAGGGATTCAGACTGATAACACGTCAGATTAACGTCACAAGATCCACCCCCCTCCCCTCCCCTCCCCTCCCTCCCGAAGTATCTCAAAAGCCAAAGAACCAATCACCTGAACATATGGATGTTGTTGCACACAGAGCACTTTCCCCTCTGTCTGCAGCCAGTGGTGCCTCTCCTACTGCTGAGGGCATGAAGTCTGTCCATGCAGGCGCTCACCTGTAACCAGCCAGGTCTCACGTAACAGTCCTCATCAACACCCACTATACCGGCTTAACCTTTTGCTCTCATAAACTCTTAGAAATCAAGTTCAGCTCTACTGGTAACGCTGCATGCAATCACTATAGTGGGCTTATAATTCTATATGGGAGTCCCCAAAATCCGCAAGAAAAATATGCTACAAAAGATAGGTGCATGTCAACAACGAAAACATTTAACTTTTATTTACTATGCAAAGAGAGATATTGCACAAACGTATGGGTAATAATGATATCAGTGTAGACATGGAATTTACAAAAAACCTTCTGCTAATCAGCTAATCTTTTGTATTTGGCCACTCCCACGTCTCGTTTCACTTCGCTTCAACGTACTCAAACTATGAATGGACGAATGAAGAAAAAAAAAAGGCAAATTAATATTTCCAATGAAAAGCGAGAGAGCACCCTTTTACATTTGTGGAACTGAAAATCATTTTTGTGTGTTTTTCATCCGGTCTGATATTTTTAATCTCACACATGCACACACACACACACACATAAACACGTACACAAAAACACACTGTATGGTGCCTGTACATATCGAGGCCTGAACAGTTTCCTTGTGCAGGGCTATTATTTCCAGTCCAGCTGATAGTTGGTGTGTTCCAGGTGCTGCCATAGCACTGGCATCGTTGTAATCCTTCATGTTACTCATCATCTGGTGTCCCTCTCTCACTGCATCATGTACAGTTGGACCGATGAATAAACTACTGACAAATTTTACCTGAGCGTTTCCGTGTTTTTCCCTCCCAAAATCATCACTGAACTAATTTTACCTTATGTAGTATCTCTGCTATGTGAGTGAATTTGACTGAAAATTTAAGACAGCAGCTTAGTGAAGCTGACTGTATGATTAACTTTTATACTCTTAGTTCTTAAAGGTCCAGTGTGTAGGATTTAGGGGGATTTATTGGTAGGAATTATATTTTCTTTAATGTATGATCACCTGAAAATAAGAATCATTGTGATTCCGTTACCTTAAAATGAGCCATTTAGATCTACATGGAAGCGGGTCCTCATCCACAGAGATCGCCATGTTCACCACCATGTTTCTACAGTAGCCCAGAACAGACAAACCAAACACTGGCTCTAGATACTGCCATTGGATGGGTCCAAAAAAAAAAAAACACCAACTTTCACCCAAGAGAATGGTGTTCACGTCCCGTAAGATTCTAAAGCCAAACCCTGTTCTTTATTCCTAAACCTAACCATGTTTTTGTTGCCTAAACTCAACCATTTGTGTTTGTTGCTGAAGGAAAGAAAACGTCAATTCATCGTGGTTGTACTGACGTAGTGCGTTCATTTTGAAAGAGACTGTACGTAAACAGTAAATTTCCTGAGAAAACGGAAGTGTATCTTGAAAGAAGAGAACTTGATAAGTGTCCCAGAACGTCAACAACCAACGCACCTAGGGTACGTAGCACGTCGCATGTGGACGTGAAAAGTCCATGACCAAAACGTTAGTATGTGACGAGTTCGGAGTGAGAATGTGTTGACCATCTGCTACTAGCAGCGTCGGAAAACCACTGATTTGTTACATGAACAGCTTTGATCAGTGTTTTTAGTGGTTTAAATCACCTTATATGTTTGTTTTGGAGAGGAGGAGACCTCTGCAGATAATTCCACGTACGGTGAAAACCTCCTGAATGTCTGGATCTTAAGTTACAAGAGAAAAAGGTGAGCACACATTAGCATGTGGTGGGCAAGCTGCTCCTCTCCAGCATGTGGAAGAGCATAGGAGAAACAGTAATTTGTAACATTTAACTGCTTTATTCAGTGTTTTTACCTGTTTTAATCACCTGGTTTGTTCGTTTTGGAGAGGAGGATAATTCTGTTCCTGGTACAAACCTCCTGAACACTGAAAGAATTCTAGCTGGGAGATGTTTCAATTGGTTGCAATGTGCAATCCTCACCACTAGATGCCACCAAATCCCCCTAAGGTTTACACACTCTTACACACTCTTACACACCTTTAACTTTATAAATTACTGTAAACTTCTATATACAGTACAGGCCAAAAGTTTGGACACACCTTCTCATTCAGTGTGTTTTCTTTATTTTCATGACTATTTACATTGTAGATTCTCACTGAAGGCATCAAAACTATGAATGAACACATGTGGAGTTATGTACTTAACAAAAAAAGGTGAAATAACTGAAAACATGTTTTATATTCTAGTTTCTTCAAAATAGCCACCCTTTGCTCTGATTACTGCTTTGCACACTCTTGGCATTCTCTCCATGAGCTTCAAGAGGTAGTCACCTGAAATGGTTTCCACTTCACAGGTGTGCCTTATCAGGGTTAATTAGTGGAATTTCTTGCTTTATCAATGGGGTTGGGACCATCAGTTGTGTTGTGCAGAAGTCAGGTTAATACACAGCCGACAGCCCTATTGGACAACTGTTAAAATTCATATTATGGCAAGAACCAATCAGCTAACTAAAGAAAAACGAGTGGCCATCATTACTTTAAGAAATGAAGGTCAGTCAGTCCGGAAAATTGCAAAAACTTTAAATGTGTCCCCAAGTGGAGTCGCAAAAACCATCAAGCGCTACAACGAAACTGGCACACATGAGGACCGACCTAGGAAAGGAAGACCAAGAGTCACCTCTGCTTCTGAGGATAAGTTCATCCGAGTCACCAGCCTCAGAAATCGCAAGTTAACAGCAGCTCAGATCAGAGACCAGATGAATGCCACACAGAGTTCTAGCAGCAGACCCATCTCTAGAACAACTGTTAAGAGGAGACTGCGAGAATCAGGCCTTCATGGTCAAATAGCTGCTAGGAAACCACTGCTAAGGAGAGGCAACAAGCAGAAGAGATTTGTTTGGGCCAAGAAACACAAGGAATGGACATTAGACCAGTGGAAATCTGTGCTTTGGTCTGATGAGTCCAAATTTGAGATCTTTGGTTCCAACCGCCGTGTCTTTGTGAGACGCAGAAAAGGTGAACGGATGGATTCCACATGCCTGGTTCCCACTGTGAAGCATGGAGGAGGAGGTGTGATAGTGTGGGGGTGTTTTGCTGGTGACACTGTTGGGGGTTTATTCAAAATTGAAGGCACGCTGAACCAGCATGGCTACCACAGCATCCTGCAGCGACATGCCATCCCATCCGGTTTGCGTTTAGTTGGACGATCATTTATTTTTCAACAGGACAATGACCCCAAACACACCTCCAGGCTGTGTAAGGGCTATTTGACCAAGAAGGAGAGTGATGGAGTGCTGCGGCAGATGACCTGGCCTCCACAGTCACCGGACCTGAACCCAATCGAGATGGTTTGGGGTGAGCTGGACCGCAGAGTGAAGGCAAAGGGGCCAACAAGTGCTAAACACCTCTGGGAACTCCTTCAAGACTGTTGGAAAACCATTTCAGGTGACTACCTCTTGAAGCTCATCGAGAGAATGCCAAGAGTGTGCAAAGCAGTAATCAGAGCAAAGGGTGGCTATTTTGAAGAAACTAGAATATAAAACATGTTTTCAGTTATTTCACCTTTTTTTTGTTAAGTACATAACTCCACATGTGTTCATTCATAGTTTTGATGCCTTCAGTGAGAATCTACAATGTAAATAGTCATGAAAATAAAGAAAACGCATTGAATGAGAAGGTGTGTCCAAACTTTTGGCCTGTACTGTATATTTGACAGATACATATGATGTTGATGCACTTTATTTTGTTTGACTTAACATGATCACAAAGAGATGCAACAACAACAAAAAAAAGGGCAAACCTGTAAATTCTGCGAGGTGGGGGGCTTTTACATGTCTGTGCACAGGGGCCCATTGTCTCATAATCCGCCCATGGTCCTGCTGAGGCACTGCACTGCTTTAAGAAATAATATGACATTTTGGGAGACAGGCCTATAGCCTAATGCTGAAATCACACCAAGCAGGTTCTTTCATGTGTCTCAGGTGGGAAGAAATTCTTTGTAATGTGAGTCATCATGTCACAGGAGTCACAGGACTCTGCCTACTCTGCCTACTAGCCTACTCTGTGTGTTTGCAGTTTTTGGTGATCATATAGTGCTGAATTATACATTGTGTGTGTGTGTGTGTGTGTGTGTGTTTGGCTTTCTACATTTAAAACTTACTGTAAATATGTTAATAAGGATTAAGCTGTAGGCTCTCTGTTCCATAAGGGATGAGGGATCTAAGCCTGTTTTGCTGGGTCTGCTACAGTGAAATGTTCTGACCTATGTTGATGGACCTAAAATTTGCCATTTGAAATGGGGAGTTAAAGTGATCTGTTGTTCTACAAAACCTGAAGAAATTATGGCATCAGCTTTCATTAAAGCTGACTTTTATTAGCACAACATAGCAATATTATAATATAAATATATTATGCATGTGTGCTTTTGTACATGAGCATTTAAAAGATTCTCATGCACATAAATCACAAATTCAACAATTTAATACATTTTTAAATAGAATTCAAGGTTACAGATAAAAAAGTGCTAAACATCAGTATGCTTCACCTGTGTAGTGTTATATAGGTGGAGTTGAGTCAGGCAGAGCACACAGTTTTTAGCATTTATGTCTGACATTCACATGAAGACCGTTTACCACTGACTCATGCAGAGAAAGGCTTCTCCTGGGTGATAATGATAAAGATCATAGACATTATATATGATGATCCATGCATGAAATACAACCCCTGTTTCACATGAAAGAAAAACACATATTCAAAATCACAACGATGATAAATGCATAAAACGAAATAAATTAGTAAATGGGTGTAAAATAAATAAAAACCGCTGAAAACTTAGCTTCAAATCTTAAATATGTATTTTTCCGTAATGTTAATGAGCAACAAAATTAAGCCATTTTTTAGAGTTTAACTCTCAAATCTTCATTAATCAATCAATTTTATTTATAAAGCCCAAAATCACAAATAACAATCTGCCTCACAGGGCTTTACAGCATACCACATCCCTCTGTCCTTTGGACCCTCGCAGCTGATAAGGAAAAACTCCCCCCCAAAAAAAACTTTAACGGGAAAAAAATGGTAGAAACCTCAAGAGGAGCAACTGAGGAGAGATCCCTCTTCCAGGACGGACAGACGTGCAATAGATGCCGTACAGAACAGATCAACAAAATGAATTTGCAGTAATCCATATGACAAAATGAGACAGAAGAGAGACAGAGACAGAGAGAGATTCAGGACAGACAGTAATGACAGTAGTTTACAACAACATTCATTTAAGTAATAATATAATAATAATTACGGCTATTGTGGTACAATATGTTGTAGGTATATGTTGATATATGATAGTATATGTGACAATAATCATATGTGTATAATAACAGTAGAAGTATGACTAACGGTAACAGCAGCAGCAGGAGGCATCTGGCAGGACCACAGCAGCAGTACAACCACACGTCACACCATCCAGACACCGCTGCAATATAAGTTAACCTGAGAGACAGTGGAGCACAAAGGCTCCGGAGAAGAAGCCGAGTTAGTGACATGTATTAACAGGACATGAGAGAGAGAGAGAAGGAGAGAAGGTGCTCGGTGTATTACAGGAGGTCCCCCGGCAGACCAGGCCTAAGTCAGCCTTACTAGGGGCTGATCCAAAACAAGCCTGAGCCAGCCCTAACTAAGCTTTATCAAAGAGGAAAGTCTTAAGTCTAGTCTTAAATGTGGAGACGGTGTCTGCCTCCTGGACCGCAACAGGAAGATGATTCCACAGGAGAGGAGCCTGATAGCTGAAGGCTCTGGC